AAAGTAAAAAGTAAAAAAGATCTAATTCTTATGAGATGCTTTAATGAGGCGGAATGATGATGTCGTCGACTGTTATTTCCTCTTCCCCGCCGAGTTTGTGAGAAACGGTTCCACAAGTGCATTGAACGGCTGCCGAAACAATGCAGTTCATGCAATAATAAGTGTCACGGAACAGGTTGTTTAGGCTTTTATATGCAAATGTTTTCGCGGTCGCCGTCAGCTTTTAGGGTTCACCGTTTATTTCACGTGTTAAACGATCCATAACGCTTATTCCGGTGGAGCCTATCCCAGCCGACAATGCTCCCGGGGGGTCATTTAGATTTAGGACGAATGGACGATGCCGGAGTACCAAGATGTAACCCACCGAGACACGAGAAGAACATGCAAACTCCACACAGAAAAGGTCCCAGTCCCACATGAAGCCCCCATACCAGCATACCGGAAAAAAAGCTGAGAAAGCTCAGCCATGCTAAAAGAAATGAGCATGTTGCATTTAACTAGATGGCTTAGTAGTTAAACACATCTGAGTATTCGAGGGACCAATCAGAGCAGACCGGGTTCTTACTGGAAGTAGATGTTAAAGACACGCACACTAAAATAGACAAAGCCGTCCACAGGGATGCAGCAATTTACAAAGTCATAGAAAGTTTGGTTTCTTTGTGATTTGAATTAGGTTTGTTGTGTCCTCACAATTACTTACTTATCACCCTTGGTGCGTTTTGTTATTTTATGAGATCATCCATCATGACGCATGATAGATGTCTAACATCTGGGATGAGTCCTCACCTCTTAAAGTGCTTGATATAATAGAACATTTGTGCTTTCCCTTGATAGCCTCTGTAACCCATTGCAATTACAAATGATTTAAGCAAAATGACCTATTTAACTTAATTTATTCCCATTGTCAACAAACTTTTTTGGCTGTTTGCAGCCGGACTACAGTATATAGTTTGATCTTTCAGCCTTTACTTGCTGCATTCCTTATGTTTGCAAGTACAATACAGTTTGTTTACACTATATAACTAATAGCAAAGACACTCGAGGAGCTGTTAACATTTGGACAACTGCTAGCATGCACATCTGTGTTGACCTCATCTCTCCTTTCAGCTGAAGGAAAAGTGCTTTGGTTGTCTCTGGGTAATACCACGAGATCAGCAGGGATGAAAGGAAATGAGTCTCAAGGATGTTCATTTCCTAATAGGTGTTGAGATCCCTGCTGTTGGGCTGAGGCTCAAACTAATCTCGAGGACAAAACTGTGAGAGGGAGACGGGTAAAGATGATATTCAGGATGGAAGAAACTGGGTCTGTCAAATTACACCCCGTCCAAAACACTCAACGGTAAAGTGCGCTTGAACCACGCAGGAGGAAGTGCTCGAAAATTTGTAAGCTGAAGATTTTTATAATGAATTTATGGAAATTACAACTCGTCCTGAACACTCAAACCTTCCTTAAGAGGCTTGCTGTGTCGGTGTATGTAGTGCAGTACAGCAGAAACAGAACCAGGGACTCATGTATCTTAATACAAGAAAAAGAAACTGGAATTAGTTGAACATATTGTTTTTAACTTGGTTACTTGAATTGCTGGGCCAAATACCTGTGGTGCTATGGGACTAATAGTTGTGGATTTGTTTATTTTGGGACAATCTACTAATAATCTAGTGTTCCTTTAGTAATATTTTGTTTGTAAAAAAATTATGCAACTGAAAATCTAGCAGAAATACTAAAAAATAATATTATGTTGGTGATGTTTCTGCAGATCAGGGACAGAAAAGTAAGACATATTTTTCCTTTAGGTTTGGTAATATAGTTTAAATGCAGCGTATAAATGTGTATAGGGCTATGTAAGTAAATCTAAGGAACTTCATGAGTAGATAAATATTTTATTTCAGGACTGAAACTAAGCATTCTTGCTCATGTCTGTAGGTTTGTAGCTGCACAGTCAGCAGAGGTGCTGTGCAGGAGCTCTTTACCGTGCATATTTATTTATCCTCCGACTGCTGAGCCAGAGATACATAGAATTAACGAAAGACAGGCTCACGAAGTAAACAGCAACCAAAACAGTTCAGAAAACAACAAGAAGCCGTTTCATCACCGAGGAATTTTATTATCGGATTAGAGCAGATGGATGCTCCATGGCGGGGGGGGGTTACCATACTAAGGAGGCACTAGTTATTCAGAAAAGGCATAACCTAACATCACAACACAGCTGCAGGTAAAACCATCCCCTTACTCCTGTCTTAAAAAGTCTGGACACAGGGCATATTCAAAACTACATTTACCCTAATTGCAAACTTTGCTTAGCACTGCAAGAGTCAGTGTGCATAATAACAAACCGGTTCTTTTTTTAAATAACAATTCAAACATTCTGGTCTTCAACATTTGTTGCTTTCTTTTAGATTCTTGGTGCTGCTGTGCAGATCCAGCCTTAATATAACCAAAAAGATAATATCCTACCAGCAGACCAGGTCTCACTGGGCCATAAAGCATCACAAGCCATCGACTGTGACTCTCCAGGGACAGATAGCAGTCAGAGAAGGGGGGGGGGGGGGGGGGGGGTGATAATGGGGGAGTGTTGCTGATGGTGGTCAGCCCAAATGGACCCATTATACCACCTCCATTATTTGATCCGGCCAGCTGCTGAAATTCTTCACCGCTACTCTAATTTAAACTTGCTTTATATTAGACGTGACAGTCTTTTTGTGGAGTTATTTGATGTAGCTTTGGATTTTCACATAGAAGTTGATTTTATATTCAATCCCCCTTTAAGACAGGTCCAGAAAAGTTAGCGAATGTGTGGATGTTGGGCTCGGGATTCCATTTTATGGTAACAATGAGAATGGAGACAATACCAATGACAATGGAGGTAGCTAAAGAAAAGAATGACAAAAAGCATTCTGTGTTAGTTTCTCACATGCCGTAATGCTTCAGAGATGTCACTTTGAAAAAGTCAACTGAAAATGTATTGTGACTGATGAATAATCCAGTCACAATACTTATTTAAAGATACGCAGCTTTAATTTGCCCGGGTCCTGTAGCGTTAACCTACAGTGTCACTTCTGTTGATGTCTTTTGTCATTCTCTGCCCACAGCTCTTTTCACATGATCTGTAAGAGCTCCTCTCCGATTATAGATGTCATCAAACATAATGCAGTTGTTTTTATGACGTCTGATTCTTCCCTCTGCCCGTCTGACCTACTCGCAATTTGCTCCATTAAAAAACCAGCCCTGCTGAACTCTCCTTTTGCCCGTCTGTAACAGCCGAACAAGAGCCAGCGTGCCGCCTCCTCACCGAACAACAGAGACGAGAAAAGAAAGGAATAGCAAATAAAAAGGGATCTTCTCTATCTAGAATCTAAGATTCTCCATGCTGAGCCTGCTTCATCTCCATTATGAGGCACATTTGTGGAGGCAAATTGAACAGGTTGACCCTTTTGCACAGTATCTAGCAATGCTAATGGTTGTTGTGAGGCTAAGAAAAAAATATATTTCTTCTACTCTACATTGATGTAGGTCAATTGAGCAGTGACTAGATTTTTCAAGGAATTCGATTCTTTAAATTCCGCGCTCTACAGAAGGCTCCCACCAGTCCAGGCAGCCCTGCTTTGTTGTTGCTCCCTTAGTGTGACTAGATTGATGAATTACAAATGGCTTTATTCACAAATATATAGGTGGTGTTTGGAGTGAGCAGCCTAAGTTTTTCTCCCATCCAATTTATTGCATCATCTTCCCAGCAGATTTGAACCAAGACAACCCTGAATCACGCACTTGTTGGATATAGAGGAATTGTTTTTGGTTTGTTTTATTTTTTATTAATTGCTTCTTTGTTTTCAAAAAACAAAATTGTGTGTGAGTGTAATCAAGTTATTTTATAGTTGATTTATGAGATACCTGATATGAGATGTATATGAGGTAATATGCCATAGTGTAGCACACATTTGAACACTGCTTTTTATAGCACTATTAGATTTACTGTCCTAATTTTTCAGGTATTGAAATACCTAGCAAAAAGCTATCCTTCCCACTTCATTTGTTAATGTTTGTTGAATTCTGTATCTGTAATTACTATCAGACGATGTATACACAGAGCTTGGATCTACTGATGGTCAGTTCCTGCTAAAAGACAGTCATCCTCTCCCTTTTTATTTACATGCACGGTGAGGATGGATGACAGATTTAAAAAACAAAGATAAACCTAATGTCCTCATGTGATGAAAAACCACTTCCTGTACCCTGACAGTCTAGTTATAAACTCATTAGGTCCGACTGAAGTGGTTAAGATCCGTGCTTTTGATTGAACTGCAAAGATAAACAGGAACAAATACGAAACCAAGCATGACGCAGAAAACCCCAAAATACCAAAAGTCCAGGGGAGCTGCCTATAAAACTAATACAGAGAGGTTCCAGCGCAATTAGCTGTTTAAATGTTGATGCGGAGCTAATGTAGGACTTTAATTCCTCCTTCAGTCCCAGGATGTTCTGCTTGTAATTGCTAACCCTCCCTTCGTGCATGGAGATGCTTCATTTGTTGCTATTGTTACGACTCTGGGTTGTCTGTTCATATGATCTAGATTGTTATTCCCCTCCCTGACCCCTGTGGTTTTTGTATCTTTCAGCCCACTGGAAAATTACTCGGCCCAGATAACTCTTACGTAAAATAGTCCGATAGTCTGAGGCAGGGCGGAACACTTCTTTTCGCTGTTGTCTTCGGTTAACATCGAATTATGCAAAGCTGTTGTACGGAAAGTTGTACGGAAAATAAACTGCTGCGCTGGCACTGCCTCTGGCGGCTCTCAGAGGCCTCGCGTTTTTAGGTGCACTCCGGATTACTGGAGTAAGTCTTTATGACATTTCTGCCAAGTCATCATCCCGCCTAATGTAACAGAAGTGTGGGTGGATAAATTTAAGAGATAATCAGGCGGGACACATTGATAGATTCATGAAAGTGTTATGCCCGTCTTGTTTTTTTATTACCATCCCCTGCCTCTGTGTTTTACTACAGTTCAGGAGAGGCCATGCCATTTGGCTGTCTAACGATTGGGGAAAAGAAGGATTACAACAGTCCTTCGGATGTGACAGATAAATATGACCTGGGTCAGGTTGTTAAATCGTGAGTATCCGAACAGCTGCCCGTAAAGCTACTCTAGACCTCACCGATATGCAACGTTTTATTTAAACCAAGTTCTGTTTATTGCTTTTTTTCTGCTCTTTTTTAGGGAGGAGTTCTGTGAGATATTCAGAGCCAAGGACAAAAACACGATGAAAATGTACACGTGTAAAAAGTTCCTGAAAAAGGACGGGAGGAAAGTCCGCAAGGCTGCCAAAAACGAGATCCTCATCTTGAAGATGTGAGTAATTGTGCATAATAACTTATGCAAAGAGATTCGAATCCTCGTCAGTCTCTTTTTACTGACTTTCAGTAAATATTTCATTATCGAAATCTTATCAAGCAACTGGATGATGATGGAAGATGATGGAAACAGAGGGGCTATCAAATGTATCTGAGACGAAGTGACTAAATCCTTTTGGTGGTTAGAAGTCATTAGACCTGTTAAATATACTATTTAACGTAGCCAAAATGCACAGGTTACAATCTTAACATGGATCAACAGAGTCTAGAACCATCTTTTAGTCATCTTTTTTATAGTGATTACTATCTGTATTATCTGATGTTACTGTTTTGGAGGCTTTTATTCATATCATTTCTTTATTTCAGTCTTCTGGCCCATTTTAATCAGGCTCCACTCGGATCATTTCAACACCTGAATGCTTTTCCTTTTCATCTCTCATGTTAAAGATGTGTTCCTGTGACTGGGATCACTGTACCAATTTCAGCCAAGTCTCACTGACCCTGACTCAGACGCACACTGCTATATATTTTGTAGTCAATAGTTCACTAGATGACTGGAAGGCGTCCAGGTCCAGTGGCCGCCAAACTAGTTGAAATAATCATTGTAGATTTTTTTTACTTTTTTTGTATAAAAATACAAACATTGTAATATGTCGTATCAATTTAACTGACTTTCTATTGATCTAGTTTTAAGACAGTAGTGCGGACTAGTTGATATTTGCCCTATCATAGCCTTAGAATTGTCCTTTTTTAAAAACCGTACAGACATTATATTTTTCCAAAACACCATCTCCTGTTCCTGATGGGTCACACATAAATTACAGTTATGAAACACTGCACCTGTCAGAGGTGACGCACCGCGGCAAAGATATGTACGTGTGACAGGGCTGAGTATTCCATTCACTAAATAACTCACCGGTATTGAATGAAATGGGATGGCATTGAACTCGCTGCTTTATTCCTTTTAGATAGTGGTTCACATTCATGAAGGAAACTGGAGTATTTTGCATGTCAAGAACCCACAGTGAACAACAACAAGCCGTACCCGCTTCCCTCCAGGTGATGTTTTTATTGAAGGGAAAATTGGCTGCTCAGAGTCTTCCTCCTACTGCTCGCTTTTCTTTATGCTCTAGCGAATGTGAGATCACGTGAATCTGCTCGTCTTTAGAAGAGCAAAAAGATCCAGATCTTACTACCGGATCTAATTTTGATTATTTGGTTTTGTAATCGGATTCGATTTCCTTGTTATCTGATTTTTCTTTCGGCTTGACGTGATCACCGCGATGTGTTATTCATGCCGGTCGCATCACCTTCTGCCTGACTCCTGACATCAAACCCTTTCTGTCTTCTGCTTTCTGACACGTCTTCCCCAGGGTGAAGCATCCCAATATCCTCCAACTGGTTGACGTTTACGAGACCAAAAAAGAGTACTTCCTCTTCCTTGAGCTGTGAGTTTAGAAAGCCTGACGGGCTGAGGGGAAAAAGGCTCGTCTTTCCTTTTGCTGGGGCCCTGAACTGCCTCGGTTGATTGTACGCTCATGAGAAATGAGCTGCTACTCAAGGTCCCGCACATATAAGAAAAGCTCAGACATCCCTATCATTTGGTATTCAGATGTGATCTATCATAAGATGCTCCATTCCCATCAGCATGTTTTCTTTGGGAATTTGATGCCTCTCTATGTAAATTCTAGATGTAGAAATATATATTCCATTTGTGGGTTTGGGGATTTTGGTAAATGCAACACACATGCAGACACAGAACTATCCACGGGGAAATTATTGTCTTTTTTTTACCTCACGTTCTCTATTCGTAGGAAGACGGAATTTTAATATAAGTTTTGCAGTCAGGAGCCTAATTATTCCAAGGGCTGATGCCATAGATGACAAAAATCTAATGCATTTCCCTTCTCTTTCACAGAGCAACAGGCAGAGAGGTATTTGACTGGATTCTAGATCAAGGCTACTACTCAGAACGGGACACCAGCAACGTGGTGCGCCAGGTGTTGGAGGCTGTGGCCTACCTCCACTCCCTGCACATTGTCCACAGAAACCTCAAGGTAGACCCAAATAATCAGGACAAATTTTGAGTTGGTCCACTGTTTAAACTGTTATTCACTTTTGCCGTAAACAAAGTCCACACTGTAAGAAATGTCTGTGAAATAAACATTAATATGGGAGGGGGCATCTTAGGGAATTAGGAAAGTTTATCACCATACATCAAAATTTTCCCAAATTTGTGCTGTGGTTTTCATAAGGAAAATGAAGAAATAGTCATATTTTCTGTTTATTGTGCTTAAAACCCACCGCCATTTTCATAGCTGAATTTAAAGGATTTAAAGATAAATTTAGGACATTGCATATATAGTGCAGAGTACTCAAACAAAAATGGTTCTGGTGGTGATGATTGTGTGATTATTGTCTGTTATGAGTGTGAATTTAATCTAAACATTTAATCTTAAAACTAGGCTTAAAGACCATGCATAATTTGAATCGCATCAGAGCAGGTTAATTTAATATTTCATCTCGTCTTCTCGTTACTTTATTAGGTTTTAGTGGCATATTGACATTTAAACTGCAGCTTTAATATCACACAGACTTGATATATACGTTCGTGTCGTTTTAATAAGCTGGAGAACTTGGTCTACTACAACCGCCTGAAGCACTCCAAGATCGTCATCAGCGACTTCCACCTGGCCAAGCTGGAGAATGGGCTGATAAAAGACCCGTGTGGGACACCGGAGTACTTGGGTGAGAGTAGTGGACACAAAAATAATGTCGGCTCGGTGCCGTGGCCTGTTGATGAAGCTCTGGTTCTCTTGTCTAGCCCCTGAGGTCGTAGGCCGGCAGCGGTATGGCCGGCCTGTGGACTGCTGGGCAACCGGAGTCATCATGTACATACTGTAAGCTGGGCTCGTTTCCACTCAATGTCGGCTTCATTTTTAGACGATACATCAGTTATTATCTTTAAGAGTTTGTCTTTTTGGTTGCTCATTACCACAGGCTGTCAGGCAACCCTCCTTTCTATGACGAAACCGACGATGATGACTATGAGAACCACGACAAGAACCTGTTCCGCAAGATCTTGGCAGGGGATTACGAGTTTGACTCTCCGTACTGGGATGAGATCTCTGACTCAGGTACTCTTGCTCTTTAGAAAAGCGGACTGACATCTTGCCAAGTAAACCTTTCAAATATGACTGCGTTTCCCTTTGTTCTGCGCTCCAGTTTGTCGTTTCGATACCCTCGTTCATCGGGGAAGCGAACCCTTCCTTGTTGAGTTTTCTCTGTGTGATGTTTCTCTCACAGCTAAGAGTCTCGTTGCCCGCTTGATGGAGGTGGATCAGGACCAGAGACTAACGGCCCAGGAGGCTATAAACCATGAATGGTACGCAATAGTGCTTTTTGAAGACTGAATCTAAATCAGACCGCTGTGGCCAGGCCATGCTAATCTGATCAGAGAGACTGCTTAAAAGCAAACTTTGTTCCATCTTTAAAACATCCAATTAATCCAACTCGGGGTTGCAGGGGGGGCTGGGGCTTTTGCGAGCCGTTAAAGGGCAAGGGGCCGGTATACACACAGAACAGGTCTCAGTCCATCAAGAAACCATACGAGACAATGTACCCTCACACAACACATACTCTCGGGGACCGTTGAGGCGGTTAATCCAGCATGCATGTTTTTGGATGGTGGAAGGAAGCATCTGTTCCTATTAACAGGCTTCAGGGAGTGCTACGACTTTAATTTGACACAATTCTTGGAAGAAATGTTTTAAAATATCAAACAACTATTAGGCTGGTGCAACATTTGGTGTGGAAATACATTATTCCCAGGTGATGTACTCCACTTGCTTTCATTTCAGTGTCATTAGCGTGTTTTCATTTTCTAATGTTGTGTTCTCTGTGTTCCCGAATTAAAAACAAAAGTATGCTTTGCCCACATTCTCTGCTTGTGGTATGTCCCAAAAAAATAGAAATGTCGAACATAAGCTGACTGCAGACTTGGGAAAAAAAGGGTCAAGTAAAAAAATAATGATCAAAGCAAAGCCCTCAAAAGTCAATTTGTCCTAGCAAGAAGTTGGCCAGTCATTAAAACCAACAGCAAATGCTGTTTGCAGCGCCCTGTAGCAAGAATACGAAAGCAAAAAAGTAGACTTATTTTCTGTTCTTTTTTTTTAAAAACTGCAGGATCTCTGGAGGAGCAGCGTCAGATAAGAACATTAAGGAAAACGTGTGTGCACAAATAGAGAAAAACTTTGCCAGAGCTAAGTGGAAGGTAAGCCCTACAATTCCATTTTTTCCCCCCGGTAACCTTTCCAACCACAGTTTAACTATCTTAGTCCTTTAAACTGAGAGGTGTAGAGGCATAGTAGTAGCTTTGAGAAGAAGATGGTACTGCAGGAATTTTCTCTGTTAACTCATTGGCTGCCAAAGACGTCTATAGACGTCTTTTATGTTTTTCAACGAGAGTGGCTTGGGGGACGATCTGCTAAAGCTTGTCTGTAAATATCAGGCTTCTAGACAGAGTACGTACTAACAAATCGACCCTCTAGGTAGCAGTGCAACTTTTGATGGGAGATGAGCACAGATTGTAGGCAAATAAGAAAAAGGTAACGGTTCGCTATGAGAGCACATGTCGTCGGTGAGACGCAAGTCGAGGAAGAACGGAATAAGGTAGAAACTATTTTTTTTCCTGATGAAAGAAGAGAGTCTACTCTTTCTTTTGGTGTGTTCGGTGTTTACATAGTCATAGCGCAAACTATTCTGTGGCTCTTGAAAAAATCAGTAAAAATGCTAAAAAAAACTCCGGCAGTATGGGACTCTTTGTTCTGAAAATGGCTGGCAGTCAATGAGTTAAAAATCGGATTTGTGTGAACTTTTTTTTTTGTGTCTCCCTTCCCACAGAAAGCTGTCCGGGTCACCACCATCATGAAGAGGCTGAGGGCCCCCGAGCAGAGCGAGGCCAAGCCGGCCGGCCCTGCCACGGACACGGCAACGGCCCCGGCAACGGACCCGGCAACCGGCCCGCCCTCGCTCGAGGGCGCCTCGGCCGTGGAGCCCCCGGCCAACGCCGGCGAGGGCGGGGGGGTGACCGACCCGGCCCAGGAGGCCCAAGCTGCCACTGGGGGGCCGCAGCAGCCCAACCCAGACCCCCAAGGGGAGGAACCAATCACCAGCTGCAACGGGGAGGCCTCGGCTGCACTTCACACACCCACCGGGGACGGGGGCGAGCAGGGTTAAATGCCCCCCCCCCCGGGTAACCTCTGCTAACCACTCCCGCACACTGTACATTAGCTGCTAGCATGGTGACACTGACTCTGCTTCTCTCACTCGCAGCTTTAGTTTCATCTCGTAGAGGCTGTGTGCTACCTTTTTTCCGAGAGCTGCAGCTCAATTCTTTTTTTTTTTTTAAAGTATTGATGTATTGTACTTTCACCGACCCTCTGGTGTTTTTAAAGAACCGGTAACATCCCTCTCCTCGAAACTTGAGCTCCGCAGCCTGAGTAAAATCCACTGCTAAGCTCGTGGCTTACCGTTAAAGTCGACTTTCCGACTTTTTCTCATGGTTGGTAAGAGAGTAAAAGGGAGAGGAAAATAGGTGGTGAAAAATGGCTTTTATCGCTTTTTAAACAAGCCAACTTGGGGAGCCTCCCTCTGCCAGTCTTTCAATTACGCCGTTTTTTTTTCTGCTGAATTATTGAAAAACTTTTTCCTTCAAAAATATATAGACTGCCATAACGCTCTGTAACAGCTGATCTGCACACCCAGAGAAGACTGAAAGCATTATTTTCACACGGGAAATTAATCTTTACTATCTATTATTGTCCACACTAACGGTCATCGTGCATAATGTGGCGCTGAGATTGGCGAGTGGCATTTTTATAAGCCAGTGCTGGGTTGTTTTTGAAGGAGGCAGCTTCGCACATAAGCACACATACACACACACACACGATTTGATCATTTGCTATGTTCCTGCTCAGGAAACGATCTCATAGCTGTAGGTGTAAAGATTCTGTACATAGAGACCTTTATAGAAGTAGCTAAAAGAGCATGCATTCTCACTTTTTCGCTGTTCATCTAACACATACACACACACATCCACTTGGTGGATAAAGATGCGTTCCTGCCTGTCTCGTTTCATCGTGGGCCACTGCACTCTCACCTCTTGCCGCAAGCCTTGTTAATCCTAGTGTTCTTTTAAAAAAAACGTACCACACGGCTTTACCACTGTTCTTTTTGTGCCCCATCTGTAAATGTAAGATATAAGAAGGGGGGTTGGGGCAACACTTTTCATTGCATCGCACTTCTATGCATCAAATTGATTTGTAGCTTTTGTTTTTAAGGACATCACATTAGGCGTCACGACATCTTTATCCAACTCGTGAAGGGCCGTTTGTTTTCCTTTCCACATTTCTGCCCATTTCTTCTTTGACGTAAAAATTTTTGAGATTTGGTGAGACGTCAAATAAAAAGTGCATTAGCCCACAATATGTGGATTTTTATTTTTTCTTATCATTTGTTTTTGTTTTTTTTAAAAGGCATCCACCATTTGAGTTTTATTTAACTTGAAGTTTTTCAGGAGTTGGCTTTGTTGACCTTTCTTTTACTGGAAAAAGATATGTATACTTTTACTTTTTATATTAATTAATTTATTTATACAACTGTTCATTCGATTTATTTTGTGTTTGTATCCGTTTTTATCTGTTTATGTATCCATCTCTGAACAGATGGACAATAATAACCTTTCCTTTCCTGTATGCGGTCCCCTTGAGCATTCTTAATAAGGAGCAACTGTTGAAGCTCATCTTTATAAATCACTCTAGAGGAAATTTAGCAATATTTGACTGGCTGCAGAAACTGTGATCCCTGGTGTCCTTTCAATACAGTCCATGTACCTGTAAGTAGAAGTCTGTTGATATACACAGCCACCAACACATGACTGACGACCGTGTGTCTGTATGTGTGTAACTGTGTGTGTGTGTGTGTGTGCGGGTGGCTGGCCGGTTATGACACACACACTGAAGTGTGTGAGTTTCTATTCCCTCGCCTAACGAAGACAGCAGCTCGACTGTCAGAACAAGATGATTTAGTTCAAATATAATAGATCCGTGAATCTGTGAATTTAAAATAGAGACGAAAAAAGTTCTATTTATTCTCAAGTTTGACTTTCTTGTTTCCAGATTATATTTAGTCTCTTTTTATTTTGTGTTAGATTAGATTAGTCCCACCAATCATTCAGATAACATCACCGTGGACTTTCATCTTCAAAGATAGATATATCGGTTGTAACAGGAGACTTAATCCGACGGATATCAAAGATTAATGTGAGCAAATTCAATTTTCACACTTCTTTGTTTAGACGGCAAAATAAGTACTGTTACATTTCAAAAGCAATGCTTCTTTCCTGTACATTTCTCACTGTATTTATGATCTCGTGTCCGTTCATTTTTGCCACGCACTTGGAGGCGTATTTGTTGATGTGATGTTTTCCAGGGCCAGTGGTCACCTGTAGGTCCTGTCCTGCATTCGTGAGCTCTGTAATGTTACTCCTTGAGTTAATGAGTTTGATGGTAATAAAACTAAACAAATCTGTTCATTCACGTTGGTTTTGCTCTCGTCTCTCTCTCTCTCTCTTTCTCCCCCACAAGGCCGACAGACGGAGGTTCGAACCGGCGAGGCTTATTTTGAGAAAATGTGGGAAACAGCCTGCGTCATCCCACTGTGCCTCTTCCTTTAACCCAGAGGAGAGCCTGCGTGTTACACTCAGTCAATTAGCAAAAAGCTTAGCAGCCGCCCTTGTGGGGTGTGAATTCGTGCCTCGTAAAAAAATTTAAATAAATAAAAAATCACAGCAGTTCCGTTCGGTGATGCTTTCCAGGATGCTCGAATTGCACCACAATGGAATAATGATGCAGAGTCCTCTCTTTGGAGGCTCTCGGGGGGGTTTGAATGGGCTTTCTCTGGGGACCCCTTCCTGTTTTTCAAAGCCAACTTTTAAAGCAGTGGCATGAAGCCATCCGTGCAGCAAACCAGGGCTCAGGGGGATCCGGGCCCCGTCTCTGTGTCACCGGATGACTTCATTAAGAGTCTTAGGGTGAGAGGGGGGTCAGCTTCCCGTTTCCCTCTACCAGTTTAGTCGAGATGAAAGAACCGTGATCAGAGTCTATCCTTGCCAAAAGGGAAAAGTGAACTTTATGGGGAATAGTCCGTGTGCACATGTTACATTGACTATGCTGAAATAGAAGGGAGTAAGAGTATAGAATAGAGAGATGTTTTTCTTCCGTCCTTCACCCTATTGTTTCCATGCCAGCATATTTTGATAGGGATCAATGGATGTTGTGTAACGGTTCATTGGCATGCTGGGGTTCAGAAGTAATTAAAAACAAGAGCTAATCCAGAATGCTTTCATTATCGGTATATTGCTTCATCCTACCGCAGACCTCTGAAATCCTGCAGACAGTATGCATACACTAAACACTATGATTCCTCACTAATTAACTTTAATCAGTGACTCTAGCTGTGAAAACAGCCTCACCTACACTGGAAAAAAAAAACACCATGAGACTTGCCAATTATTTGCTTTGTATTATCGTGTAGCCTACTGATTTTTATGTATTTTCTGTTAAAAATGGAGTTTACATTCTGCTCCTTTGCCATCATTTTTCACAAAAATTGCAATTTGGTACCCGACAATGAAAGAGACAAAGACCTAGTTAATTAGTTACAGAAAAAATGCTGTTTTCCAGTTCAGGAGCACAAAACAATTACATGTACCAACCAGGTCATTTATATCGACCAAATCATTAACAGACCACAAATCTAAATTAGTTTATGTAAAGTCCAGTGTTTCTCCCTCCTAATTGGCAAAATAAAACAAAATGACAAAAATACCTTATGGGAAAAAAGGCCATTAATTAAATCACTCAAGTACTCCAGCCACACGAAAACACCAAGAAAATGTGGAAATCGCAACCAAATCATATCAGACATATTCACAAACATGAACCTCTATTCCAACCAGTCAGTAATACAGACTCCATAATAAGACTCAGAGTAGAACGAAGGAGAATATTTGCTTGTGAACTACCAACAAACAGGAGCTGCTACTGTCCTCTGCTGGATAAAAATGTAAAAACATCTTCAGTTCAATAAGAATGACTACAACATAGAGTAGTAAAAAGTGTGTGCATGTTTTAACTGTATGAGCGTGCCCTGATAATATGTAATGGAGCCTGAATTTGCTGAATACACACAAAGTAATTGTGTAAAAAACAAACTGCAACTTAAAAAATCCTGTTTAAATATGACACTGATTGCCCTAAATAGATTAGCTATTTTCATTTTCAGTCACACACAATGTGATGAGAACAGGAAGTTCTGAATAGCTGAAGTCTGGCTGACAGCTAAATTCAGGCCACTTTACTCCAATATTTACTCAAATATAATAGGAATACATATAGGAATATATATAATATATATAATATATAATAGGAATTAGGAATAATAGGAATATAATAGCAATAATAGGAATATAATAGGAATAATAGGAATATATAGGAATATATATAATAGGAATTAGGAATAATAGGAATATATAGGAATATACAGTATATAAGAGGAATTTAGGAATCATTGTTGCACAAATGGCCTCTGGAAAAAAAAACACCTCCCTAATAGGGGAAATTTTTGGACAAGAAGCATATTTTTGTAAACGTACTATAATATTGCAAAGGTTGTTGCTACTTTCCAGACATGAATATCAGAGCATGCATAGCTGCACCTTGTTTTCAGTTTTTATGTTAGAGTCAGGGTCATTTTACACATCTTTCACCTTTTGAATGATCTTCTAAGTAAATATGCATCTTGTGACAAAGCGCAAGTCCCCATGATATCATAAATTCTTAATTTTAGTCAAGCCATCACCTCTGTGCAACCAGCAGGAGTTTCTCTCCATTTGTTTTCTTCAGCTGGCTCACAATGCAGCTGTGAGCTGAACGGCTTTTGTGATTGTACAGAAGCAGCAGAGAGCAGTGTTGCTCACCTTTTTCTCTGCCTCACACGGACTGGTGGTCGATAATAGCTATTCCACACCATCCCCTGAGCCTCATCAGTGTGTGGTTACCGCACGAGAAAGCCCAACTAAATGAAGATTCTGAGTTTTTCTGAGGCCCAAATGGGGTGCGATGCAGAAAAAAAAACAACCCTCAATTACTTTTAGAGCAAAACTCTTTAACTCCGTTTGTGGGCAATCCCAGGTGGAGCCATTATGTCGGTGTCAGTTCATCATCTCTCTCCCATCGACTTTTAAACACCGGCCAAGTCTGTAGGCCTGGAAACAAAAGCCTGACTTCATGCCAAAATTCTACTCTATTATTCTGTTCTCCAACAATGCGGTCACTGTCTGACAACTTCTTCTTATGAGAGAGACAGAACATAGTCACGCGGAGCCCTGAACGGCCTCTGAATACCAGATTGGACCGTGATAAAAACACAAGTGGATTCCACGAGTAAACAGTAGGCCGAATGGTGGCAATGATGCTGCTATGTGAGGTAATTCCGAACTGTAACACATTACCATTGTACTGCGAAAGAATGGTGCTCAGAAATATCTAATCAGATTTGGACTGGACGGCCTTTCTTGTGGGTAGTTTTGAATTTCAGAAGCGCTGATCAGCGTTTTGGTCTCCGGCCAGGTTCTGATTCTGATTTGGAGACAGAGGAGGCTAGATCTGTGTGATTAAGGCAGATGCCACTTTAACAGCCACTGTGAGAGAGATTCATTGTTTTGGCTTTTCTTTTTGCCAGGGGTGGTCAGTCTCCCATCATGGCCCATCTCTTGGAAGAATCAGATAAATGAGTTCCCTCAAGCTTTGCTGTCATCCAAAGTTCTGAGGGCCCTCTGATGGCTTTCCAAACCATTCAACAAATCGTCTCTCGTGTCTTGAAATAAATTCATGCTGGAAGGGGGGGGGGGGAGCGGTCGGTCGACATGCTCTCAGCGTCAAAATAAAAAATGCATCAATGAGGTCAGCAGATAAAGCTCTCATTGTCAAATGGTTAAGACTCCCTTTATTGTATGGATCAAACAAAGTGAAACATAAAAGAAGGATTAACAACATTAAAAACAACTCATCCAGTAATAGTGCCAGGCTTTTTGTACGCTGAAGTGTTCTGAGAAGAACACGGTTGCGTCACGGATATTTTTGTGCGAGATCATTTTCGAGAAACGTTTCCCAAGTGAACGTAATATCCTCCATTTTGCTTTTCAGAAATAACGTTTCACATGGATGGTTGATTTTAACTGCTTTACAACACCACACAAAATCCAACAGTAGACTGATTCCAATCAGTTCAGAGAGGTTTTATCACATATATTCAACAGAAAGTTTAGTTCTTAGATTAGAAACATTGCACTGATGCATTTATTTTCTCCTTCCCTTCTCATCCCCAATTGGGTTTGCCATTTTTTTTGGCTCTACTTTCAGATATTTCCACTCCCAACCTAACTTGTGGAAGAATGCTACTCACCCTCGGTGTAGAAACTGTGTGGGGGTGGGCGTGGTCGGTTGTGGCAGGTTAGCCCCACCCACTGAAATGGGGACCCCATCTCTGCCACAAGAGGTAGCCAAAAAAGACATGAGCGAGAGTCATTAACCTGACAACAGCTTGTGTCTCTCTGGTATTGTACGCCTGTCTCCGTAAACTTCCATCCCCATTTACATTTTAGCCATGTCATGGTGGCAAACAAGAAACAATATTTAACGTAGAAAACAGTCTATGGCATAATGTGACGCATGCTCGATTGCAAGTGATTACATTCACCATAATAAACTGAAAAAACTAATAATAAATGAATGAAATTCATTTAAAAATAGGACGGGAAACTTTCAATGAAATGACTGTTAATGAGGGCACTGCGTAAATAAAAAAAACTGGATCACAAAACAGAGAAAGCATTCTAAAAGTAGAATGTCAGATCATTTTCTATCTTAATAAGAATTCAATGGCACCAAACGCTTCTATAGAAGTTTGGGAAGAAAAATCTGTGAGTGGAGGAATATCTTGAAACCGAAACAGTCTGATTAGAAACAGTAGTTGTTATTAAGTTGTAATTAAGTGGTCGACGTTTCAAAAGAATTTACAGAAGCAGGGAACACCTCACAGACAAATCCATCCTCAAAAGGAAGTTAATGCTCAGTCAGGTACATAAAAAAGTAATGTGTGACCACCACAACAAAGGTTTCCAAATTTTGAAAGCTGATCCAAAATGAGAGAGTGGAAAACTGTTTTGTGGTCAAACAAATGAATTTTTTAAATGTTTTTTAAACATTAACATTAGCAGGTACAGAACCAGTTGTTTTCACATATTAAAAGGTATTCATCCACCATATCACCTGGAACCAAAATCAGTATATTGTACTTCCTTTCATTATATAGAAATAAAACATGATTGATTGAAGTGTTCCTATTAAAATGGAAAGGTGTTGTAAAGGGGCTGAATGAGAAGCATCTGCTTTAAAATCAAATGATTAAATGTACTCATTCAGTTTCAACATTGTTGGCATGGGGTTTATTTTACCTCTAGAAATTATTCTAGATTTAATATATATAATCATAATAATTTTCTTTAAGAGGTGGAATATGTTTTTCTGCTAAGTTAGTAACAGTCACCAAAGGACTGAAAAAGCTTCAAGTCAATAAAATAGTGGAGTTTGCTATCCGGCACAACTGCACATTAAAAATAAGATAAAGAAATTTTAGGATTTTCTCAAACCTGACAACACTAAGGTGAACACTACAGTGATGGCTTCATTCTGAAGCTAAAATGCGGTGTGCAGATTTTATAAAAATGTGCATCCATATCTCTTTAACAGGTACAACTTTATTCCAAGGATCCAAAGGTTGGTGGGCAGAACATGGAAAACATTAATCATCAAGTGATCCACAATGAAGGGGGGGGCATTTCCTTTTTTTAAAAAATAGAGCTTTAATCTTTTTTTTTTTTTTTTTTAAGTCAGCAACAACAACGGAAAGGGAAGAATGAGTCATTTACACAAGTCATTACAATAACATCACCTCTGTGCATTTTGTTTTCATTTGAATAAAATCTGACGATGGAAAGAAAAAAAAAAGAAAAAACACTTTAAAATTTAAGACACGTTTTTTTTAAAAATAACAAATTTTACAACTCGACTTTGCTGTTCTTTTTTTTTTTTTACTTTTTCTTTTCGCTCTAGGACCCCGGTCTCACTCGCACAAGACAACTGACAGCTTTGTTTGCTTCTGGGAATGCGGTGAAATTCCACACTGAGGAGCAGACTCAAATCTGAATTCTAGACGCATCTCCACAGACACCTCCATGCTGCCTGAAAAGAAGCCTAGCAAGGTGCACTTAAAGCCCCCTTTATATGAAAATCAGTGATCATGTTTTCCAAGTGGTTCGTCTTCCATCATACATTCTCATAAATAAAACTGAAAAAGACAAAAATCTCTTACTTTTATTTCCTGTGGCGCTATTCAAACTGCATGATTTAAAAGAATCCCAATGTAAATGAATTTTAATTAAGTCTAATCTCAGCCTTCTCTTTGTCTGTGTATTCAATATGCCACAGATTTTTTCTTTTTCTTTTTTTTTTTTTACCAACGACACAAAAGTGAGATCATTTACTTTCGACTTGGATAAAATCTGTACTGATGTCCACGAGAAAGATGCATCGTGCTTTTTACACGCGAGATATTTGACATGACAGCACTTGAATTTTTGCATTGGAAAAAAAAAAAGTACGTCAGATCATACTATACAACCACAGAGATAAAAAAATGAAAAGAAAAAAAACAGGAGGAAAAGAAACAAAAAAACAAAGCTACCACACACTATCTTATTAGAATTACAGTACAAATACAGATTTCATGCACACAATGAAAGCCAGCTTCCCGATATTCAATATTTTGGTTAATGTCACAATATTGTTACAATGCTCTGTTGTGTATATGAGCCTTTTTTCCACACGAAATCCATCAGGAAAAACAAAACAAACACATATACATACAAAAAAAAAAAAAAAAAACTCACATACACATATGTTGAGATCTGCAGAAATCCACCAAACCTCACCCAAGTGTGCTTATTGATTTTGGCCCTTGCCAATATCTCCTGAAAAGAAAAAAGATGGAAAAGAAAAATGCCCCTTGTGTGCAAATATTTGACCTTTGCTGCACATCAGTTTCAGTCCAAAGGATTTTTAGGAAAAAAAAACTATCTATTCATATAGTCTATTTATGTGTATGATATAAAAACTGATCAGATGGTTGGGTGATTCCAAACTTTTGACAAATCAGAAACGTGGGAATCCTGTCGTTATCAAATGGAAATCTCACTGATCGAGCAACAATGACGAATATTTAATAAGAAATCCTCCAATTAATATGCTGAAATCGGAAAAGAGGAAAAAAGAAACAAAACGAACAAAAAAAAAGGAGAGTTCTCACAAAAAAAAAGGGACCATGTGTCTATGGTCCTCTCGCAATACAAAGTCTCTGTCCACCAGGAAGTTGCATCACACGTGCTCCTAGAGAGTCCAGAAATGAGTCCCGTTCTTCAGTCGCAGTAAGCCAAAGGAGGAAAAAAAAAAAAGACAGAAAACCCCTCACCTCGCGCTTCCCTCTTCCAAAGATACAGCTCACGTCCCTCTCAACACACTCCCGACGGTCACTTTTACAGAACGCCGACAAATGACTCGTACTGACAGCAACGGCAACAATAAAATTAACAACAATAACAATATTTTTGCCCCAAAAGGTACCTATACACAAAGAGCATGTTTTTTTCTTTTCTCTATAAGTACAAAGGAATCCACAGAATGATACTATATACAACCTACAATAAATACTGTGTATCATATATTTTTTGAGGGGATGTATTGTGTGACTTTGCGTTATTTTTCTCAGTTTGCGTTTTTTTACCCTGGTTTTTGTGGATTTTTTTTCTTTTCTTTTTTCTTTCTCTTCTCATGTTCCTATTCTCTCTGAGTCTCTCCCAGTTTTGACAGGGTTTTGGGGGGGGAAAAGGTTGCGTTGAAAGGGGTTTTCAGGCCCCTCATGTCTCCGCCCCCTGCTGCTCCTCTTCCTCTTCCTCTTCCTCTTCCTTTTCCTCGTGGTGCCGGCGGTTTCGGGGCTTCTTCTGCTCCTTGAGCTCCTTCAGGTCTTTTCCCTTGAGGGCGCCCAGCAGGGGGTCTCCGAACTGCCAGTAGTCCTGGCAGTACTGGTTGATCAGGCTCATCTCCGGCTGGCTCAGGATGGTCAGCAGGTCCTTGTACTGGCCAGCGCTGGGGGTCCACTGGGTGCTGCTGGACTGGAGGGATGAAGAGGAGGACGCTGCCCCACCGCCGCCGCCGTCCACCAGTGCGTTGTTGACCGCCCGGCTGGACAGCACCACCAGCTGCAGCTTGACCAGCGTGTGTTTGAAGTTCTTCTCGGTGGCCGTGCACTGGTACAGGCCGGAGTCGGAGGGCTGGAGTGACCGCAGCAGAAGACCCTGCTCGGTTTTCAGGATCCGCCCATCGCAGCGCATCTGCAGAGACAAGAAACATCCCCACGAGTTTTTCGGTCAACTCGGTCTTCAGATCATCTGGATGCTCACAAAGAAACTGTGCAATTTCTATTGATGTTGGCCAGAAAAATCAATAATGCTTAAATGGGTTGGTTCTGATTCCCCCGTCGATCCAGCTATGGAAAAATTTGCTTTCTGAAGTTATTGTACTAGAAAGACTAAAGAGATATTGTATGAATGGGACATTTTATGTCCCATTCATACAATATGTATTGTGAGGGTCTGCTGGGAGCGCCTGGCGGAGTCCCCTGTTAGGCGGAGCTTTAACTCCCACCTCCGGGAGAGCTTCGAACACGTTCCGGGGGAGGCGGGGGACATTGAGTCCGAGTGGGCCGTGTTCCGCGCCTCCATCAATGACGCGGCCTCCCGGAGCTGCGGTCGCAGGGCTGTCGGTGCCTGTCGTGGCGGCAACCCTCGAACCCGCTGGTGGACACCGGCGGTGAGGGATGCCGTCAGGCTGAAGAAGGAGTCCTATCGGGCCTTTTTGGCCTGTGGGACTCCGGAGGCAGCCGATGGGTACCGGCAGTCCAAGCGACGTGCGGCGCGGGTGGTCGCCGAGGCAAAAACCCGGGCGTGGGAGGAGTTTGGGGAGGCCATGGAAAAAGACTTCCGTACGGCCTCGAGGCGATTCTGGTCCACCATCCGGCGTCTCAGGGGGGGGGAAGCAGTGCCCCACCAACACTGTTTACAGTGGGGATGGGGTGCTGTTGACCTCAACACGTGACGTTGTGGGTCGGTGGGCGGAGTACTTCGAGGACCTCCTCAATCCCACTGGCGCGTCCTCCGTTGGAGGGGCAGAGCCTGGGGATCCGGAGTTTGGATCTCTAATCTCCGGGGCTGAAGTCACCGAGGTAGTCAAAAAGCTCCGCGGTGGCAAGGCCCCGGGGGTGGATGAGATCCGCCCGGAGTTCCTTAAGGCTTTGGATGTTGTGGGGCTGCGTTGGCTAACGAGACTCTGCAACATCGCGTGGACATCAGGGGCAGTCCCGCTGGATTGGCAGACTGGGGTGGTGGTCCCCCTATTTAAAAAGGGGGACCGAAGGGTGTGTTCCAACTATAGGGGGATCACACTCTTAAGCCTCCCTGGGAAGGTCTATTCAGCGGTTCTGGAGAGGAGGGTCCGTCGGATAGTCGAGCCTCGGATCGAGGAGGAACAGGGTGGTTTTCGTCCTGGCCGTGGAACGCTGGACCAGCTCTATACCCTCAGCGGGGTCCTAGAGGGTGCATGGGAGTTCGCTCAACCAGTCCACATGTGTTTTGTGGACTTGGAGAAGGCGTTCGACCGTGTCCCTCGGGGTATCCTGTGGGGGGTGCTCCGGGAGTATGGGGTACCTGGCCCTTTGTTACGGGCTGTTCGGTCCCTGTACGACCGGAGTCAGAGTCTGGTTCGCATTGCCGGTTGTAAGTCGGACTCGTTTCCGGTGGGAGTTGGACTCCGCCAAGGTTGCCCTATGTCTCCGGTCCTGTTCATAACTTTTATGGACAGGATTTCTAGGCGCAGCCGAGGTGTTGAGGGTGTCAGTCTTGGTGGCCTAAGGATCGCATCTCTGCTTTTTGCAGATGATGTGGTCCTGTTGGCTCCATCAAGTCGGGACCTACAGCTCTCACTGGAGCGGTTCGCAGCCGAGTGCGAAGCGGCTGGGATGAGGATCAGTGCCTCCAAGTCCGAGACCATGGTCTCTCACCGGAAAAGGGTAGAGTGCCTTCTCCGGGTCGGAGCGGACGTCCTTCCCCAAGTGGAGGAGTTCAAGTACCTCGGGGTCTTGTTCGCGAACGGGGGTAGGGAGCGTGAGATCGATAGGCGGATCGGTGCGGCGTCTGCAGTAATGCGGGCGCTGTACCGGTCTGTCGTGATGAAGAGAGAGCTGAGCCTAAAGGCGAAGCTCTCAATTTATCGGTCGATCTACGTTCCCACCCTCGTCTATGGTCACGAGCTTTGGGTAGTGACCGAAAGAACGAGATCGCGGATACAAGCGGCCGAAATGAGTTTCCTCCGCAGGGTGGCTGGGCTCTCCCTTAGAGATAGGGTGAGAAGCTCGGCCATCCGGGAGGGGCTCGGAGTAGAGCCGCTGCTCCTCCACGTGGAGAGGAGCCAGTTGAGGTGGCTCGGGCATCTGATCAGGATGCCTCCTGGTCGCCTCCCTGGGGAGGTGTTCCGGGCTCGTCCCACCGGGAGAAGGCCCAGAGGAAGACCCAGGACCCGCTGGAGGGACTATGTGTCCCGGCTGGCCTGGGAACGCCTCGGGATCCCCCCGGAGGAGCTGGCCGAAGTGGCCGGGGAGAGGGAAGTCTGGGTTTCCCTGCTCCGGCTGCTGCCCCCGCGACCCGACCCCGGATAAGCGGAGGACAATGGATGGATGGATGGATGGGACATTTTATGCCTTTAAAAAAAGATGGGAACGTATTATTGAACACTTCAAAATTTCGAAAATGAAAAGCCAGTAATGTGAATCTGAATGACGTGTGTTTATAAATTGGTGATGTTTCTCATATGACGCTGTAATTCATGTACATGCCTCCAATTTAGAATTTGTCTTGTTTTCTGTATCAGTTGCTGTATAAGTTTTGCCCCCGTTTTGTTCTTTCCTTTTCTGTTTTTGTAGAAATGTTCAAAAATACCTAATAAACATAATTCATTAGGAAAAAAAATAATAATAATAACTGGATTTATTTTTCTGTGTTTTCTTCTTTTACCCACAGGATTAAAAATATGAGAAATACTTTTAAGTATGTATTTTTTTCCCAACACAAGCAAAAAGAAGATGTTGGAAATGGCAAAAAATAACCAAAGAGGAAAGTACTGTATGTGTCATCTGCTGGACAAAGCTAAGGCTGGATGTGGTCATTTACCTCACAGTTAGGCGACGACCCACACAAATCTGATCACATTTCAATTGTTCATTTTCACATTAAGATCTATATTTTTAAAGATTGTATTTTTCAGTTTTACAATTTCTGTTCTATATTTTTATTTCTACATTTTACTTCCTTCCTTGCTTTTCATAGAAGTGTTGTGCACCAAACACCAAGGCAAATTCCTTGTAAGTCTAAAAACCTACTTGGCAATAAACCTTATTCTGATTCTGATTCTGATCAACAGCATTTCACGTGTGTTAAAAATAAGTAAGTATCTCAGATCATCTGGACCGTATATATAAAATGAGGGATTAGCTGAGATTAGAGGGTCTGTCTCCCTGCGCAGAAAGCTATGCTTAAGTCCAGTCATCAAAAATGACAAATGCCAATCCGAAAGTTGTAAGTTGTGCATCCAGGAACGACACAAAAGGTGTTGTTTTTCATGTTGATTTAATCTCCGAATGAGGAGAGAAGGTTTCTTTTCAAAACTCAGGAATTTTTTCTGGTCGACAGGATCTCAGCTGCAGAAGTGCATTTTCTTTATAAGAAGAAGAAGCTTCTGCTTCTGCTTCAAAGAAAGCTTTAAGTTTGTTAAATACAGTTATAACAATTTGAACATTTTCATATGATTAACAGAATTATAATATTACATACTTGGCAATGTGTGTGTGAATGATAAACATATTGTCTGGAAACGGAAAAAAAAAAAAAAAAACTTTGCTCCTAATATTGTTTTGGGACAGAAATCATTCAAATCTTATGCCATGTCTATTTCATAAACAGCTGACCCAAACGTTTCTCTGCATCCGCACCCAGGAATCTGATAAGGTGAAGACAGCAGCCAAGTCAGCTCTGTGTGTGGGAACGGAGGCTGTCCAATAGAACGGGCGAATAAAAGAGGCGGCAGTGTTACATCGCCTCACAATAAAACTTTAACTAGTGCCTTAGGGTTGTACATCAGAGCGGAGGGCTTTCTCACAGCTCCCCTTTATGCTTTATCCCTTCCTTTGGCCTGAGGACAGCCGGAGGACTGGGTGTGTATTCAGCCGTCATCCAATCACAGCTTGAATCCCCCAATAAGGCTAACAGCTACTCGGGAATGATACGCAATTAAATGAAGTGGCTGGATGTGTCTCACCTGTCAGAAATGGTGACTAAATACAAATTGGAGTTCATTTAGTACTTCTTAATTGATATATTTACTCACTTTTTATGAATTTGAAAAGCATAAACTTTGTGAAAAAGCAATGATGGATGGCTCTCCTAATTTTTTATGAATTTAAAAAGCGTAAGCTTTACAAAAAGAGCAGTGATGGACGGCTCACCTCACTTTTTATGAATTTAAAAAGCGTAAGCTTTAAAAAAAAAGCAGGGATAGACGGCTCACCTCTCTCCGGCGGTCACTGTTGTCCCTCTGCAGATGCCATTTGATGAGAGCGTGTGGAGAGCGGGCCTGACACTCCAGGAAGGTGCTGCTTCCCTCCACCCCGTACTGCACCATCTCTAGAGTGTTCTTATTAGCTGCAGGCGTTGGAGACAGAGAGATTTCCCCGTGACTTCCCCCGAAAGGTTTATCGCCACAACTCCCTCATAAAACAGAAATCTCATTCGCAGCAAATCTAGCGTTCTCAGAATTCAATTAAATTCAATTCAATTTTATTTATATAGCGCCACATCACAACAACAGTTGTCTCACATCGCTTTCCAAACAGAGCAGGTCAGACCCTACTCTGAAGATAATTACAGAAACCCAACAATTCCCACCATGAGCAAGCACTAGGCGACACAGGCAAGGAAAAACTTCCTTTTAACAGGCAGAAACCTCGAGCAGAACAATGGCTCAGGGTGGGCGGCCATCTGCCTCGGCCGGTTGGGGGTGAGGGAAAGAGAGGGCAAGAAAGAGAGAGAGGGCGAGAGAAGGACAGAGGGAGCAGAGAGAGGCAGCCAACACAGCAACATGTAAACTAAATGAAAAATGCTAATGATATTAATACTAATGATGATGGTAGAAGTTATGACGGCAACAGAGCAGGAACACTGGGGCTGCAGGGAACTCCCAACCACAGATCCAGACTCAGAACAGAACTCAGAACACACGGTTCGTAGCTCAAACAAAAGAGAAAGAGAAGCTGACACACGCAAACAGCAGTTACCGTTGGAGTTGAAGCCTCGGCACTGTCGGATGGGGTTCCCGTACTTGACGTCCTGCCTCCGGCTTCGTCTAAAGGGGTCAGACCAGTGTTGCCAGATAAGGAGAGAAAAAGATCATAAAGCAACCGCAAGCCATTCAAAGCCATTCAATTCTGAAACAAAAACACTGAGGCGGCTAACATAAACGAATTAGTTAAAGCCGTTGCATCTTGTATTTGTAAGTATATTATTAACTCATTGGCTGCCAAAGACGTCTATAGACGTCTTTTATGTTTTTCAACGAGAGTGGATTGGGGGACGATCTGCTAAAGCTTGTCCGTAAATATCAGGCTTCTAGACAGAGTATGTACTAACAAATCGACCCTCTAGGTGGCAGTGCCACTTTTGATGGGAAATGAGCATAGATTGTAGGCAAATAAGAAAAAGGTAACGGTTCGCTATGAGAGAAATGGCGCCGGTGAGACGCAAGTCGAGGAAGAACGGAATAAGGTAGAAGCAATTTTTTTTCCTGATGAAAGAAGAGAGTCTACTCTTTCTTTTGGTGTGTTCGGTGTTTACATAGTCATAGCACAAACTATTCTGTGACTCTTGAAAAATCAGTCGAAATGCTCAAAAAACAGTATGGCTCTCCGTTCGGAAAATGGCTGGCAGTTAATGGGTTAAGTGGCATTACCCAGCCCAATTCACCCAGGGACCAGGGACCAGTTTTACCCCCCATTTGTAAATGTAAATGTGAATGAACAGCCAATCAGCCATTCAGGCGGAGTGATGCGATCACTGGAGCTGGAGGGTTAGTCCTGGTGTTAGCTCATGCCAACGGCCGCTGTTTGGTATTTACCTCTTCTGCGAAGAGGAGTACCGGGAGCAGGACTTTCCGTCCCAGGCGCAGTAGGGATCTCTGGCCAGGCAGCAGTCGGCGCAGGCCTCGCCGTACATGTCGCAGCGATGCAGAGCCAGCTGGGTCAGGCCCACGGCCGACGACACGTACAGCTGTTGCTGTTGGAAGACGGGAGAACGGAAAAGTCGAACAGCAACTCGATATAGATATCGAAACGAGGCAAGAAATGAAAAACTTTTTTCAGTCCTTCAATGTGAAAACCTTCATGAGAGGCTTGTGTTGTTTTAAGTTTACTAAGATTACGATTAAGATATACAGGACTGTCTTAGAAAATAAGAATATGGTGATAAAGTTCTTTATTTTCTGTAATGCAATTATAAATCATGAAATGTCATATATTCTGGATTCATTACAAATGAACTGAAATATCGCAAGCCTTTTATTAATATAGCTGATTATGGCGTACAGCTGAAGAAAACAAAAAAATCCGATATTATGATATTATGAGATAGGATATTTGGGTTTCTTAAGCTGTAAACCATAATCAGCGATATTAAAACAATAAAAGTATTAGTTAAAAAAAGTAGTTAGTAAAAATATTTCAGTTGATTTGTAATGAATCCAGAATGTATGACATTTCATGTTTTTTAATTGCATTACAGAAAATAAAGAACTTTATCACAATATTCTAATTTTCTGAGACAGTCCTGTATATGTTAAAAACTACCCAAACTGACCTTTATCCTATTCTATGTCTAAACTAATAAACTAATACTGGTACGATGAAACGAGAGTTACTACCGTAACTACGGTTCTATGAATCCCGGATGACCGCCAGAGGCAGTGCTTGAAGCACCGCCTCTGGCGGTCAGTAGGGATGAAATAGAACCAATCCTAACCCTGTTCCAAATGAGGCAAGCACAGACTGTGTATCACATGGAAGAAAAAAACTATTTCTTTTGAGACTACGCCTGCATAATTTTCTGATCAACTGTTTGAAATCCATCAGTTTGGCAGCCTGTGTGTAATCATAACTCTCTGCCTGCAGACTGATGTCATGACATGCAGAGCAGAGCAAGTATTTCCATCATTCAGAGAGAGGACACGGCACTTCTGATGTCTTTTCCATATTTCTCCACTCATTGTCTCTTTGAATTATGGCTTTTTCTGTGAATTACGGGGAAGGGAAACAACAGGGAAATGCAGCTGCGCGCATGTAGCCGGTGACCTTTTCCAAACTTTATCCTGGATTCTTTTATCGGGAGGTTTCTTTTCCTGCCTGTATCGAACAAAAGGTTAAGAAAATCTCTTGTCCAGACGCGCTTACCCTTTTGGATGAGATCTTCATCGTTGTTATAGGAGTGGGGACCTTTAGGGAGAAAAAATAAGGAATGTGAGGACTGAAAGAAAAGCAGGGCAACAGACACATTACTAAATGTGGATAAAAGGAACGTCATAAAAAGAGGGAGGAGTGTGAAAGGAGGTGGGTAATGAAAGCTAACCTTAAAAACCTCCACCTCCTCCAGGACCAGCTCTTCGGTCTGCAGGTCATCTCTGGGCAGCACAATCACTTTCTGAACGGTTCCCTTGTCTGCGGATCACAAAACACACACACCGCTCAGCTACACACCTGCAAACCGCACAAACAGCCCCCTTTGATTTCATCTGGACTCAAACATGGATAATCCTCATATCGCCAGGCCACACTGTACTTTTCATCTTCTGACAAACCTTTTTTTCCCGTCACTTTCGCCTTGACCTATCGGGGGTTTGGACGCCGCGAGACATTCTCAGGCCTCTTCCCCCCTGTGACTTCTGTAAAAAGGAATTCTTGCGAGCGGGATACCTGAGATTTATTGTGTTTTTCTGAATTGCTCCTGACAGCAGCTGAAAAGGACACGCATTCCTCCACGGTGGCCGCTGTCGCACACAGGGCCCATTTACCCTCCCTCCCCCCGCCAACAAAGAAGCCCATTAAAGAGGCGTCGTATGCAAACGTGCGAGCACGCACACCGTGAGGTGGATGCCACCACACAGGAACCGTATTAGAGGCTCAAGGCAAGAAGGCCAACCGATAATCTCTGTTCCACCGGTGGGCAGGATTAAGGTGATGGATATGCCAACTATCACCCGTCCTTCCTCCTTTGCCGTTCCTCTCCTCTGCCCCCTGCTGCTGATCCCCCCCCCCCCTTTGCCCTCCAGGTACAGATCTCCTGTTGTTTACTTCAACAGAGCAAAGCGAGGAGCGGGGCCCTTTGATTGGTTAAATTTCCACTCGGGCACAAAAGGAAGGAATGCTTTTTTTCTCCAGATGAGAAATGAAGACAGGTCTGCCACTTACATGGGATTTATTTCCACAGTGGGGGGGGCGGGGGGGTTCTGCACTCTATTATCCAACAGCCCATCGACACTGTCACTCAGCATGTAAAAGCTGATCAAAGGGTTCACGAGTTCAGACCGACTCCACCAAGCAGGGATCATTTCAAATACAAAACTTCCTATCACACATTCTGGATAGAAAATAAAAACAAACCACTCACCCGTTCCTAAGAAGAGCACTTCGTAGTTGCCGTCCGCCGCCGTCACCTGGTCCACTGTGATGGTGGTGAACTCGTAGTCCACGTTGGTGCGAACCACCAGGGGGCGCTTGTGCACCGGGTACACGGCGTTGTTCATGGCAGGGTGATTCCTCATGAAGTTAATCACCTCGTCCGGGTAGTCTTTGGTGGACTTCATGTTGGGGGTGAACGTTCCTCCGGGGCACTGGGAGGGGAAAACGTCAACAACGGATGAAACGCCGGATGAAATCACAAAAAAAAAGTCCAGCGGTCGTGTTGTTTTTTCAGTTTGGTTACGCTGAAAGTCTGGATTTTGTTCAGGTGGTTTCTGTTTGAGGTCTAAATCAGTGGGATTCCCACGCTGGGGTCAGACTAGGGGGGAGACTCACCGTGCCAGGGCGAGGGTACGGGATCTTCCCAGTGTAGGCCACCCACTGGTAATTGGGGCCCTCCTTGTGGGCGAAAGGTCCGTTGAAGACCATGCGGATGTCGGCCATGGAGTACACGCAAACGGCTGAGCCTTTGAACACTGAACTGTGGAGAAAATGTAAAAGGGGGTCAGGTTATCATGTAGATACAGAAAGAATATTCTGAATTCGCTCATGTGTGAACATACCCGGACACAGAGAAGACTCCATAAATCACGGGATTTTTTATATCCTGAGTTGGCTGTATGAAAACGTCCTCTGCAGGGGAGAAAATGAAAGAAGACAGGTCAGTGTGCGAAGGGTGAAAGAAATTAAGAGTCACACACAACTGGATAATCACGATTATGAGATTTCATCTCTTTCTTTTTGGAAAGTTCCCAAAATCCATAATTGCTCCATAAAATCAAAGGCCAAGGTTCATATGAGAATTTATTTGTGCTCATTATTATCTTGTGATTTAAGGTAAGCAATTTTCTCTATTATCAGACAATGTCACAGCGTTTTCGTTCAGTATCATTACCGTCATTTCAAGATGTTTTTCTATTGATTGTTGAAAAATTAATAAATGTTGTGTGTTAGTGTAACTGTGCACACACAACTTTCATCCAAATTTACAACGTTAAAGACCTAAGCACGCTTCCAAGATACCCTGTGTGGAATACAGTCACACAACGATCATCTGCACATTCAGTTAACAATGACACACTGTTACAAAAAGGCCCTACATTCACCAGCTGTAACATTATCCACCTCTCTGTCATATCACACCAGCCATTGTGGTATTAAATGTACTACTGGGGCTCCTTTAAATGTCCCTAAGGGGGCAGTCGGAGCAGGTTAAAACGGCCTTCTCCTTTCCATGCTTCTAATGCTCGAAAGTGGTTCAAATACAGTCACCTCTTTACATGTAATCTTTAAGTGTCATGCAAGCAGCCTGTTGCTGCTTAACGTTAATTCTAACTGAAGGAGAAATGTGTTGGATTTGAAAGATGTGGCTCATGTTTCACAGTAGCAAATGCCGCTAACCAGACAGCAGAGGGCCCAACAATTTTGCTTCAAACACAAGCCAAAGCTTTTCAGATATCCATTAAAGTGATCTAGATATTGGTCTGGGGAATTTTATGACATTGGCTGTTGTACAATATAATGTTAAAACTTAAATGAATTTGCTCTTGTTCCGAAAAGCGTCTTCACCATGAGTAACCTTTACACCAAACCCTGGAAACCATCCAAAATAGAAAATCACGACCCTTAAATCAAAGCTTTTTGCTAAACTTTAACAAACATTTCCAACAGTGTGCAGGGATTCTTCTCTTCCTGCTCCCATTCCTCGCGTCTTCCACCTTCGAGGGGAAAGGAAATCTCACTTCTCTCGTAAAGGAGGACTGCATCATGTGCTTTTAAGCCAGGTCTTGAGGTCTTTAAATCACGAAGACTCCCATTAGTTGTCCTGCAGGGGCCCTGACACTAACACTCCCTGATTTAGATTATCCTTCAGTTGATGCCAAGCACAGGTGATCAGTCTTTCTCCTGCCAGTACCTGACCTAAATTCTAGTCCCTGGAGACACGTTCACTGGTTACAACAAGACAAGAGCCATCGGAATGATATACGTTAGAGAAAGAGCATCAATTATTGAGAGACGAAGAAGAAAAAAGTTTACAATACTTGATCAGAGTCACAAAGATTGGAAACATGAGGGTAAAACTGATCAAATGCTCGAAAAGGTATGTATACCAATTAAGATTTATGCACCCACTGTCCCATATAGACCAGCGTGAGAAATTAGCTGTCAGGTTGCTATGCAGATAGAATGATACATGGTTGGAGGGAGAATTATCTCTGAATGTGAACTGCTGGGTTATGGTCCGTTCGCATTAGCGAGGCCGTGTAGTCTTCCTCTGGGGAGCGTCTGAAACCCCTAGGCTCATCCCAGGAGAGCGGGATACAGCTCAGAGAGAGCAGGCACGCTATCTGTACTCTTTTGTGTAGCGACTAGGCTCACACCCATTCGCATTCTCTCACACACACGCACACACACACTAGCATGCCACGTCTTCCAGCTGCCACAAAGTCGTGTATTGGAGCGGTCACGGGTTAGCGTGGCCACGGCCTGATGGGTGTCTGCCACGGATGTCACCCAACACACGATCCTCGTCATGACATACAGCTGTTCCACCGCAGAAATGAGAGATTTGCACGCGTGAAAAGCACAAGTGTGCACTTGAAAACTTGTAGTGCTGTGCGCACGCGAGAAAAACAAAAGGGCACTCATAGATGGAAACATGGGAGGATGAGAAGAGACCAAGGCTTCGGGGGGGGGGGGTAAAACAGCAAGGTGATTTACAGCAGGAGAGAGTTGGGTTTGATCTGGCCAGCTCTCATGGTAATAGCCACGTTGCTATATATAGAGTTCTATATGTACAGTACAACCTAGTTTCCATAAAGTAAAACAACTAACAAGAGATCCTGAAGAGAGTTTTTTTAGTCAAAAGTGGACGAGGCAATTACTCCAGTGACCATCCAGGGTGTACCCCGCCTCCCGCCGTTGGGAATAAGAGGTACAGAAAATGGATGAATTACTCAAATGATAGAGGTTCCAGTTCCATATTGTTGTTTGTTTGGCAGGAGTTTTTTTTTTTCTTTCTACGTCGGATGCCTTTTCCTGTGAAGTTTCCATGCTCTCCCCATGTTTGCGTGGGTCCACTCCGGGGCACTCTAAACGGCCACAAGGAGTAAAAGTGGGTGGTTGTTTGTCTCTGTGTGGCCCAGTGATGGACTAGTGACCTGTCCAGGTGTGCTAAATGTTTGTGAGGACATATTGAGCTCCTCCCGTGTGCATCTCCTAGTCAAAGTGACAGAAATGATGGGTGGTTCCGAAATGAATAATTACATCAGGAGAAAAGGACACCGTTGCCAAGATTCAATGGGTGGGTCGACATATCCAGTGACTCATTTTCCCCCACCTTTTTAACCATAAAGCTCATTCAGATGCTAGTTAGCTAAGTCATACATAAAAACTAAACTCGCCTAGTATCAAATATGGTCTCTTTCCGCTTGTTAAATATATATGGGTGAACAAACAGATTTTATATCATTATATCATCCTGCTCTGGTTCTGTTACCTTTTGTTACTCAAAATCCAGTTTCCTCTGAAGTGACAATCTCTCAAAAAGGGCAGCTTTATATACATTCAAACCATAGAAATATAAGCTACTAGTACACATAATACACATCCCATTATGTTCACTGTGCACTCTTTTCTCCTCTTTTCCCCCCTGCATGTCTGTCCCTACTCTTTCACCAGCCTGTTCCACCACACATTTGCAGCTTTATTCAAGCCCGATCCAAAAATTAATCATCCGTGCCAAACGCTGACGAATATCAAGCCCTCTCGCAGGCTAATTCTACGCTACTGGGTCTATGTCAACACCGGCCTTACCAGTACAGGCAGAACCCTTATTTGTAAAAACCAAAGTCAGCCTTTTTCCTGCTCGGATCTGCCTGCTCATCAGTTATGTGAGGGGGCTCGTGCACACACATCCACACGGGTTTTTAAGTGTGTCACTATCAATCTGGTCTAGAACAGGCTTTAATATAAAAAACAAAAGTGGAAAAAAAAGTAAGAAATGCGTCACTGAGATAAAAAGACCCAAAAGATTAGTAATGAAGGCTTCTTTTCATTCTTGAGATGAGTTTAAAAGCAACAGTGCATCAATTTCCCATCACATTTTTGGCTCTAAAAAGCCTCCCAGACACACGCATTCAAGCTCTGCAATCTGATCTGTCCACCATCAGGCCGTCTCCTTACACACATACACGAGAAAAGAAGCAGATTTTTACTTGCTTAGGACATCTTCAGAGAGAAAGACACCTGCAGAGGAGTGCTGAAATTATGCGAGTCCTTCCCATTAGAAGAGGCAGCACAAGTCGTGTGAAGGGAGTGGGCTGAGCTGTGCACCGTGTGTGTGCATACGTGTGTTTATGCTCTTGGCAGGTTCTGCTGTCAAACACTCTCTATGTAATATTTAAAATGAGGTCATACATATAAAAGAAAAAATTTAACTGAATATGTCTGAAAGAAATCCGGACCTTCCTTGTTCTTCTTTTCCATTTAGAACAAAAAAAATAGATAGGGTGTCTGGTCAAAAATGAATGATCCATATGACTGGACTGTGGGCTGGCAATCGTGAGCTCATTTTTTATAGGATTGTATGTAACTGGAGTTACACATGGAGGATGAATTTAATCTCTGTACCACAAATGTGTTGTGCACTGAAGTTTCAGGAATAACTAATAACTGAATTGACTTCATGTCAGCAAGGGAAAGTTGGAGATCCCCACCAACGCCCGCCTAAGTTTCCACTTGTACTGTACCTTGGTTTGGTTAAAACAAGCACTGCTGTAGTTGTCATTTAGCATGGTGCATTTGAGCCGACTCGAGATATATTAATCATAGTTTTGGGTACAAAAGCTGCCTTAAATTGTATTTAATTATCAATACTTGGTCGAGTGGTTAAAAACACAAGTGACAAACTATTAATTTGTGTTTTACTTGGACTGTGAAAGCCTAATTCATTTTTTAAAATCACAAATAGACTGTTCATTTGTCAAATACAATATGTCAGCTGATATCTGCACTTATCGATATGTAGTAGTTGGTTTGACAAGGAAACATTCCCTTTGCAGCTCGTATTTATATGTAAAAGTGAGAATTCTGTACAGTATCGTTTGCAATAAACAAAATCTTTAGCTAATTCCCTGCAAGGATGCTAACTGCTTCAAAAAGTGTTAATGCACCACCCACAGAAAAAGGCATCACACCTCTGGCAGTTTCCATGATTGACAAGGAAGTCTGTAAAACAGCACTCCACCTCCACCACGTAACCTACACATTTCCATCTCAATTGAGAACGGTGGGGAAAGGGACCACAGCAGGATCTCGGTCTGTGGGCGTTAAAGCCTTTTTCTACTCACTGAGCTCGTCAAAGTGCGTCTCCATGCCGTCAGCCCCGGGCACCGAGCAGATGAGTCTGGCCTTCAGGAAGGTGCTCCACTTGTTGACCAGACAGCAGTGACCTCCATCATCATTCTGTTTTTTTTTTTTAGAAACCAAACACAGTTTGTCCATTAACTGCATCCTCGGTCCTCCCTTGGCAACCCCAAACACACACACACACAGATGCACTACAAAGTGCATATAGATTTTTAAAAGTCAGTACCATATAAAGGGGGTGGGGATCAGCCTGATGAACAATATTCCATTTAATTTTGTCTGTGATGGATCGGAGATACAATCCCCGCCTTGTCTTGTCAGCCATTGTTTCTCTATGAGTTGCATCTCTAAAGGAAAAACTAGCACTTTCAATTTTCTATCTTTCTTTTTTTGTATTTTATTGAATAGTTCTCAAAAAGTGTGTGTGTGTTTTTTTTTAACATTCTTTACATTGTCCCATTGGGGGAGTTGAACTGTTTTCATAATTTTCACCGTGATTACAGTGAGCGGATTTTCGGTGGTGAGCAGGGGAGCAAAAAAAAAGGCAATAAGAGCCTCCAGATGTGCGGCCAAGTAGGGATGACAGGAGCACGTCTCCTGAGGGCCGCGGATAGGGCCCGCTGGGAGGGGGATGAGTGTTTGTCTGCCGGGTCAGCATCTGACCCCTTCGAGTGAACACAACAGTGAACAGCTGAGACGACAAACGCCATGTTTGGCACTTTTTTTTTTTACTTTGGCCATTCTAATAAATCCACCATCATGAACGCACAGGCAACAAATTCTGCAGAGGAAACACATTTTAGGAAAATGGCCCCTGAAGATTTGAGTGATATTCTTTATTATATGCCATAACGGTTTTTTTTAAATATATATATTTTTTGTATTCTTTTTGTTTGGAGTGGAGATTTTGGCAGCACAGTACACCCAAAGCTACTAGAGAGAGGCCACAAGATCACAGGGTCAGAGGTCAGAGAGCAATCTCTTAGACAGAGGGATGCATTGTAGACAGGAAGACATGTTGATTGCGGCATGTTAGCATTAGCCAAATACTAGTCCCGGGCGTGTAAATATTAGAACACAGTGGGCGACTTGCCTCGGGACACTTCGGCCTTTTCCTATACATGCTGCAGGTTTTTTCTTTTCACTAAACGAAGCAAAAACACCTCACTGGGCACATACCAGGCAGATGCGTCCTATGCGGGACTGAGTCACAGGACTCTGGCCCATCTCTGAGGACTTCTCCCGGAAAAAGAAATACAGCTTGTCATCATTTCTCTCTGCACTGTCAGGGATGAGGTGCACATGGATGAAAGTGGGGTCTGTGAGGAGAAGAGATATTGAAATGCTTAGGTGGGGTTAAAATATGCTCTTAAACGTCAGTGTTTACTGTGAAAGATCTATGAGTCTGACCATGTTAGAGTTTTTATCTCACTTGTGTTTTGCGCACAGCCGACTTTTCTTAAAGAGATACATCAAAGTAAAATTCAGGACGTTACCGTTCAGCCATCTGGAGTTGTACTGATCCGTTCTCATGGCAGTCTTTGTCCCTAAAGTGCGGAAAATGGCTGAGTCTGTTCCCATGAAGTCAACATAGACCCCAGCATATAGCTCTCCATCTAAGGAAGAAAGAAAACAGTTCATCTGAGTAAAGTTCCTCCACTCTGACATTATTCCATCACCGCCCTTGGCAAAAAACACAGACTTGTATAAAAGGATATTAAGACCCATCTCAGAGGTCGTCATTCCGCAATACAGCAGCTCCGCTACCTATTTGTCTTCATTCATGCAAGCAGACAGGGGATGATTGCATCTTAAATTGCAAGTAATTGCATCTTAAATAGCAATTACTTACTGAACTGCCTTGGAATCTAACATTTTTAAGTCCTGCAGAGATGAGGCTGCACTTTTGGATCTACACTTTTAGCATGACCTAAAACTCTGGATAGAGAGAGTACATTTGTGCCACAGATAGTTTTTTTAAATTCATTTTATGCATCGAAGTTCAGATCAATCTGTCAGATTATTTATTCATTTTCAATAATTGCTTTATTGTACATTATATCTCTGTGGAGCTGATGTCTATTCCATTATCAGAGAGAAAGTGAGCATCATGGAGAGGTCACAGACCATCCCAGAGCCAAGTATAACAACCATACATGTTCGCACTCACAGGGCCAATTCAACGGATTGATTTACCCAACATTTATGTTTTTGGACAGTAGGAGAAACCTTGGGTGTAGTAAAACTCCATATGGTTATGCAACTCAAAATTAGGATACCAGTCACATTACAGTACATAAACTGTATTGTTATTTCAAACAGGAATGTGTTGTCAATAAGTAAAACTTCCCATAATGACAAAATAAATCTTATCTGCAAAAAAGAAAGACAAAAAGTTAACCGGTCGTATTTCATTTGGCATGAAACTTAAAGTGGTGCAGTGTCGCCAGATGTGGTATTTGTTGAATTGACAGTGCTGTAGAGGCTCAAGCAAACCAACAGGGAAGAACAATGGAAAAAGTTTTTTTTTTTAAATAAATCTCTTTTATATCCAAGAATATGCAGAAGGACGCTGGAATATTGTTAGCTAGCACGGAGCAGAAACACCCAGTTGGTTACGTCATTTGAATTTCACCCGTGTCAAATGACATTCACAAAGTTGTTTCCATTCCCCCAGATGTGCATCAACTCTGGAAACAGGCAACAAAACTAAACACATTGCACGAAGGCCTATAAACCTTTTTGGAGATTACAATGTCCCCTCAGAGTACGTCTTTTAATGTTTTCATCCTGTTTTCTGTCATTGTCTTTCTTATACACACAGCAATGTTTCCAAATAATCCCCTCAAATCCCCTCTGTTATGATTTTTCATAATTGATCAGGTATATTGTAAATCTATGTGTGTGAAACTGAGATTAAAAGTAAAACTGAAATTAGTTTTGAACAGTAAATCAATAAATTTACTTCTTGCTTGAACTGGACAGCTTTGCCATGAAAATACATTTTTGTGGACAGCAACAGCTGCACAAAGTCTTCCCAACTATACAAAACAATGACATTTTCTAAACTGTGTTTGGATCCAGAGCAATTACTCTCTTGGAAAACTTCCTGAGAGGAATCATATCTAAATTACAGAAAGCATAAAAAAAAAACCTACAGCAGTCAAGCTTTCTTTAAAAGTCTTAACATGCACTTCATAAAGACATAAAATATGAGCACATCCATGTGTGCAGCCTGTAAAAATATACACAACAGTCTTTTTAAGCCACGAGAAGGCAAGGTGTTGGTGTTCCAGCTGCCGTATGGGCCCCATAAGACAGCAGGTGTGGCTCTGAGCATGGAGACAGCAGGAACAAGAGACGCTCTCCTACCACCGTCGTAGTCAATGTCACGGTTTCCAGCCGAGCAGTGGGTAGATTGATGATATATCATTAAAACGTCCACGCATGATAGGATGTTTAATATGGGGAGGTAGCTCGGCACTCGGAGGCCACTGGTAAATCTCCCGTTGTGGAACAGGATTCCAAATCTTCCCTGAACAATGCTAACTGCTAGAAGCGGGGAGCATAAATCCATCTTGGATGACAGTCTTGGTTCCATGCTGGTCAGCTGGCACAGCGCTAATGTGGGAAAACGGGCCCGGTGATTTACACCCACCGTCTCGCCCCACAGAGAGGAGATCGCCTTTCACTTTTGGTATCTGTGTGGCCTGAACCTGACTGAGAGACCTTGGACAGAAGGACAAAGACCTCTGGCCTCGTGAGATCTGTGACAGATGATGAGCTACAGCCTTCTAGCTGAACCTTATTAGACATTTACAAAAACCTTGGATACTTAATTAAAAAAAGGAGGAGAAAGACTGTCTTTGAGACATTCACCTTATCAACACAGGAGGGGATTCCTTATCAACATGCACATAAAACATCATCCATTAAAGACTTAACAGGGTAAAATCCGTGGAGGATTTAGGTTATTGACCCTGTTATGCGTTTGGATCTATTATCTTAAAAGAGCCAGTGAACCGTTTAAAGAGGAATGTTACCATTTGATCCACCATTTCTAATTTAAGGCCATAAACTAATGCACAACTGTCCAGTCCTTGAGATCAAGGAGCAGTTATGATCCAAACATCTGGGTAGATCCTATTGCCACCATCAATGGGGCACCTCAAAGACAAGTACGATTCCCTCAGGGCGTCAATCGCCATTGATAAATACATTTAGCTTTTTCGAATACTGGAGAAAACATAACTGCTCCTGTAAGGATTTGGGCTGGGCTGTACCTTGTTCACTCTTACAAGACCAAACTATGTAATACTCACTAATCAAAGCTGACACGCTGTTGAGCTTCGGGTCGTAAGAGCATTTTCCCTTCCCAGATTCCACCTTGCCCGGCTCCAAGTGGAAGATTTCCTCCTGAAATGGAAAAAATCATACGGAGACGGCAATAAATTCAGCGCTCTTCATCTTGTCACCCGTGATTCCCCTGTGCTGCGAAAATGAGGGAACGTATGTGCTGCCTCTGACTCCTGTGGGACCTAAAGGGCCTGATGGGGATGAGGTATTAGAATAATGAGCGTATGTTCACACAGAAAAATACATGCGGGGAAGGGCGGGGAGTTTCAATTCCGTCTCCATGCCGCTCTAGTGCGGGAAACAATGTGTCATGGAGTTGCGTCTCTCCGAATAATAAGCTGCGGGCCAAATAACTCTCCGCTTCTCAGTTCCTACGGGCATGCGGCCTGACTGCTGACACCTGTAATCCAGCGGAGCGAAAAACAAGCCAAGGGTAGAGGCTGAATGACTGATGCTCCCTGCTTGTGGCATCCTAACACAACAGCAGCTCTGAAAGGCGCTTGGCAGGAATTGGCGCATGAGAGTAGGGGGGAAAATGAAACAGTTGCATGCAATGACATGTCCCACGGTCCCGCCTCGTAGACGTCGGCATGTCCAACGCTCATTTCTCATCCCCGGCGGGGACAGAAATGGAGACGCCTCTGTCCCCGTCCATCAGCGCTTACGCGGGAGAGGGTATGGCGCTCTGTCAAACTCCCTCAACTGGATCACACACGCAGTCTTTTGCAATCCCCCCCGCTCATCTCCGATTAAAGTCAGCGCTCGTGCAAATGAGAAGGTGCTGGCAGTTGACTCAAAGCCATGCCGGACAGTGGCCGTGCCGGGAAAAACGTCACTAACGGTTACGTACACCCGAGGGAAACTGTGCCCTAAATGTTCGTTCGTGTCCCCGACATCAAATTTGACCCTTGGAAAGGTTGCAGAATGTGGACTGAAAATCAAACTGGATACAAATAATAACAGATATCAACCTACACAAAGCCTTAAGATCCCGCTAAAGTTTCAGCACCTGCGTTGCTCATACAGAGAAGTGCATTTTTAAGCATGAGGCCCTTTCCTTTCTTTTTCTGCACAGCTAAGTTGGCTACAGATGGCTGGTGTTTGCTTTGGGCTAACAGAGGCTGCTGTGGGAGTGGGTCAGATGCTGACTAGTGCTGCCGCCTCTGTGGGAGAGTGTGTGTGTGTGTGTGTGGGGGGGGGGGGGGGGGGGGTATCGGGGGCTCTGCCTGATAGGTGGGAAAAGCCACATTGACTCACATGAGCAAGATGAACGATTAGAACGCAAGTGGTTGGTGGAGCGGCTAAATATCTGCTAAATGAAAATGAATATGTCATGCATGTTTAATTGAATTAAACCTATACGTTGTGTCTTAGCATCCAGATATGCCCTTTTCTGTGCGATAACCGGCTGTCATGCAAAACATGGCATTTAACACACACACGAGGCACCAGAAGAACAATGAGGAATAGGAAAAGGCGCTAAGACAATGCGACTTCGACAAAGAAAATATGAATGAAACATGAAATTAAAAAAAATAATCGGAAAATGAAATGCATTTCCAGCTCACACAATTCTACGAGAATGCGCACGGACGGGAAAAAGATGCATGCCAAATGTCACAGAGATAAAAACGAACGATGATTAAAGATGGGGTTGGCGAAAATGTGCGCAGACACAAAGAATGGGAGCATGCCGCTTATGACCACAAGCCCAGGATGGACGCGGGGCTGGAGGTGCAGACAGGGCCCACATCGCACCTTCAGTCCGAGTGTGTCGTGCACCGCACTGGCTTCAGCGGCGCGGCTAGCCCTTCCCCTGGCCTGGGCCATCTGCAGATACATGGACGTCTAAAACAGGAAACAGCAATACATTTCTGGATGTTACGCCCGCTGAGGTGATAGGATCAAGGCCCTTTTCCTGAGGCTGAGGCAGATTGTATCGTCCCGCCCTGTTTCCCAGACCTGATCAGGAACTGCTCAAATGTTGAGCAAAACTGTTGAGGATCAACACAACGCAAGGAGATGAGGAAAATGGAAATAATCTACTTGTAGAAAAGACTGGAAATGCTTTAAAACGCCACAAGAACTGCTTAAATCGTCAATTTGTTTGGCGCTCTAAAAGAAAAAAAAAGATCAGCATCTTACTGGGAAATTAAAAATTTTGGTGGCGGTAACACACAAACAAACAATACATTAATAACAAAAAACCAGGACACATTTAATAGATAAGGAACCAAGAATACTACGATTTTTCCAGAGAAATCTGCGTCCATTATTTCTGCATGATAGATTTTAGTCAATAGTTGCAGGTTACTTTCAGATTGCCCTCTTTATAATGCACCTATATTTTCAATAGGAGACAGACATAAACTGCCAGCAGCACAACACACTCAGGGACTCTAGTAAATCATGCAGGAAGATGTCTGGTATTGACCCTCTGATACAACAAAAGACCCCCCCGGGAAAAAGAAGTCACCTTTACCCTAGCATGTGTTTCTTACTCATAGCCTTCTATTGTGCAGGTCATCCATGCCATGGGCACTGATACACCTCGGTACAATTGCAGATGCTAGAATTTCCCTTTTTTCCCTCATAAAAGGCTAGATGGTCATCCTCATTTTGAGAATGTACGGTTGAAAAGACACCATTGAGAGTCTTCTCCCCTGCTGTTGGGTCAATAAAGCCTGTCACAGGGTGCTGCATTCTGTATGTGGGCCTAAAACTCGCAGCCAATAAGAACGTTTTATCATTACGTGTTACACTGGACCCATATTTAAAGCAAAGCACATTTTCAAATTCACACTGAACTGCTGCAACAATAAGAAAGTCAGAATTTCTAACGGCTCACCGTGTCTATTTATGCATTCATGTTTTGTGACTGAAGGCTACAAACCCGTGGCCTTTTCTGAGAAAGGTGTTACTGAGGGGCACGACTCGGACCTGTCTGTTCAGCGTCAGGGAGAAAATAACAGCTGTCTCATTAATGGACTAGAACTGGAACATTCCGCTCGCACCCCATAATGGGAGCTCCCACTTCCAATTACCCGACCTCTCACGTGGTGGAGTCTGGCGGGTGGCCTGGACGGATGCATAAAGGGGGTGGACGGATAGGGCGAGTGAAAGCTCTGGATGGAAGCCCTTCGTTAGTAAAGGGGTTCACAGAGGAACCATACGCAACAAAGGACCGGTGCCAGCAGTGCTGGCCTCTGCAAGCCCTGCGCGATCTCCAGAGACACCAGCAATGCGATATTACCCCTTTGGCCTATTTCTCTCCATAAAAGTCCCCCGATCATCGTTAGGAAAGAAGTGTGATATTTAAATAAGACTGAGGTGCTAAAGGGGGAGTATGGCAAGGTAGTTATGCCTGGCTTGGTTGGGGGAAATTCAAGAGCTCCCATTAAAAGTTGAGACTAAACAGGGTAGAATTAACTGCTCACTAGGGACAACAGCTGTGTTGGTGAGGCTGGTGTGCTGGTTTGCTTTGCTGTATGAAGACACATGGTGCCATGTCACAAGCAGGCTTAATGACGGAGGAAAGAAAGTCATCATCAAAAAAAGGGAGGCAAATGTAAAGCGGGTGGAGGGGGGTGAGAAAAAAAGGACAGGCAAGCTACGCCGCTAATGATGCAGGTGGAGAAAGCCTTTGTGTTCTCTGCGGAGCACGTTTCCCAACCTGAGGTTTGCGTCCACGGTTGACGAAGGTGCAGACCGGGTTGTAGGCTCCTGTTCCGCAGACGTACAGCTGAGTCCGGTTCCACGGCTCGACAAGGCGGATGAAGTTTGCACATTCCTCCTGGACACAAAACGAAACCGCAATTTGCACCTGAATGACGATTTTTTTTTTTTTTTTTAAGTTTCCTGGTTTAAATTTCACAGCTACATCTTCTGAAAATGGACCAAAAGTACACTTAATATCAGCAACCAGCCAGGCAGGGGTGTGAGGATGGGGAGAATGACTGTGCTACTCTGCTTCAGTACACTCCTGTCGTCTTCCTGGCTAGACAGGAGGGAACCAGTGTTTTACTGGGCCAAATTCGAACCTACAGGTAACAGCTTTTTGAACCAATTTTCTGCATTAAAACCAAAAGGAACAATGGAAGAATTGTATGTTTTTAAAGAAATACATTTTTTTTAAAAATCAAGTGGGTAGAATTCAGCTCAGCAGAACGGCCCTGCCGAGGTTTTTAGCCACGCATACTTACATTGGCATCCTTCCCACTCACAAGGCATTCCATCCTTCTTCGTTCGGACACTGGCCAGTGGATCTACGAGGAGGGGAGACGGGGACACTTTATTGCTACAATCCAACCTGCTACACATCAGCGACATTTATTGGCTTTTGTGGCCAAAACTGGGAATGGAATATCAACCCAGAAACATGTAAGTCCTTTAGGAATTGCCGTAACACAATTATAGGGTTCTAATAAACCAACACCAGGAATCAAACAAAAACTGCTAACAAACCAAAAATGGAGGCTTCTGGGACAACAAAACAGAGCATTTTGCAAGAAAAAGGCCTTACAATATGTGGGCTCTTGTTGATGTCGTGGAGGTCCAGAGACAGGATGTGGTCCTTGCTGCCAACATACATCCGATCATGGTCCTCATCCATACGGAGGATCCGGTAGTCTGATGTGTTGATCAGGTAGGCAAAGTGATGAGCGGTCCCAGTAGATCTCAGCTCTGCGCAGGGGGACAGAAATGCTTCAGTTAATGGCAGCTGCATCTACACGCGCACATACACACAACTGACATATTACTCATGCCACGCCTGCATACCAGCATGGACTTAACTGATGTTTTCCTCTAACACTCCTGTAACTGAACTCCACACATTAGAGACTGTGTTGATGGCTTGATACCTCCCGAGAAGATCAAACAATCGGGGGGGGGAGGCTAAGTTACAGAGTTCCAGTACTAAGTATATGGACATGTGGACACAGAAGTTTGACTGATATGAGAGAGAAAAGTTATTCAGAATGCATATGGGGTACATTTGAAGAGGTATGTGCTGTTGTCTTTCATTCTCTTCCTGGACATCATCCTGTAAAGGTCAGAGGAGGTAGCACCTTTGCTAACACAATGCAGCCAACATGTCTTCACATGTCGAGAGTCTTGGCTCTGTGTTGGATTTTTCGTTTGAAATGTTTTTCTGGGTTCAACAGCCGCATAGGCCACTGGTCCAAAAGCAAAGGTCACAAGCCCCGCCATAGACAAACACACTCCTTGCTATCCATAAGGCTGAGGCATTAACGGGTGGCACTCACATATCGTTGGACAAACAAGAGTGCTAACTTAAGGAGCAGGAAAGTCCCGTTTCGCAGCTCGGGTTTATTCTACAGCCAACATCGAAACACACTTTGAGGTAACCCTGAGACTTTAAATGCTGATTGTGCAGCCAAAATGTGGTGGAAAGAAACCAGAGGATAAACTGTCAAACACAGTTAGCCATGTTTGACTCTTTCTGAGATATCCGAACAGAGTTCTGCCAGTGTATAATGAAAGGAGCCAAGCAGGAAATATAGTCAATGTGGGCTGTCAGGTCTGAAGGGCATCCCCCCAGAGTCTTTTACCAAAAGGTTATTTCCAGATTTGAAAATGTTTCGTGGCAGATTTTTTTTGCAAGGCTCTGTATGTGCAGTCATGCTCGCTGCACTTAAAGTTACATAGAAGCATTCCTGGGAGGCTGTAAGGTGTTTCAGAGGAAGAGGACGGGACACCCAAGCATGCAAAGCCATCAACATGTCCGACATTGGGCCTTAAAATAAACACCATCTCCGGCCTTTTTTAAACAGACTCCCGGTTGGAATCTGATATTACCAGTCTTTCCAGCCAGATCTAAATTCGACACGGGGGTTACGTCAATAAGCGGAGATTAATAGCATTAGATTTCCTAGATTTGTAAAGTTTTGTTAAGTAACCGTGCCCACCAACGGAATGTTTACAGGTCAGCAGGGTGATTGGCAGCCATCACCGTTCTGCAAAGGGGATCTGCAACATGTGGTTGCATCCTGTGATTATTTGTGCTTCGAATCTTAAGCCGGACAAATAAGAATACATTGTCCTCGCGCACGCTTCCTGAGGGCCAGTCGAAGCCCTTCCTGAAACGGGTTGTCAGCGGCTCCTCAGTGTTTGTTGTCAGAGAGAAGCTGGATGGGACCATCTGTCAGCCGAGGGGGGAATATGAGCGGAGCGAAACGGCAACACGCCCTACAGAGAGCTGCGCGTGAAGAAACAAACACGCGTAATTGAATCTGATGGTCATCTGATAATACGGCGGGGCAGTGCGGCTTACAAGTGCTCCACAGTGTGTCTGAATACCGTGTCGTGGCTAAAACATGAATAATGGCCACTAATGATATGTCTTTCCTCACAAGTTTAAACGACTTGTAATGCAGACCACACCAGAGAGCACTACTCTCTTTAGATCGTGGCATAGTCCGGGAAATCCAACCCTGTAGGGGTGTTCATGAACACTCTAGATGAAATTTACATATCTTTTTTAGTACCGTGATAAATCTGCCAAAACTTCCTGAAAAGACCCGCTAAAAGAAATAAAAAAAGAAGTCATTGCAGCTATAAGATGTCATTTCCTATTCCGTCAGTTTTTTCTTTACTCAACCCCAAAGTCAACCTTTGCCCCAAGCAGGGATGCGTGGCATTGGACTCATTTGAAGAGCCGACTGGGGATGTGTAACAGCGGCAGACCGAATCTGACCGCTGCTCTGGTCTTGAGTTCAACCTGCCCAGAAGGATCCTGGGCCGACACTGCTCCCAAATGACTCACTATTCGCTACACAGTGAGCTTGCCATTTTGTCAAACTGTCCACATGTATAAGATTCTAGAAAAACCACATAGAATGCTACAAGTATCCCACAAGGTGGAGAAATGTTTAATATCAAAAGTAATTAACTCAGAAAATAAAGTTAAGCGAAAGGGAAAAAAACAGACATTCAAGCACATGGAAATTACATGTGCAGCACCTCCAAAAACTGCTCTTGCAAATATAAGAAGACATATCCATTTCTTTCTATTGAGAGTTTCAAAGTATCAGTTAAACTTGATCCAAACAGGCAAACGGGATGATGTAAACCGATATATATCTTTCTCGTGTGTCCAGTTTGAAGGACCTTGCCTTGAAAACGACAAGTTTTATTTCCATGTAACTTCACATAAAAAAAAAAAATCTTGGACCTAGTGTGCACAGAAAATTTATTGAACTGGCAGTGCTTTAAAAGTCAAAAGTTCCTTTGGAACAGCTTTATGTTCAACTTATTAGACAGGCCAAATGGAGATTTTTAAAAAAAATCCTAATTTGTGCTGATTCAAAGGGGCATCGCTCTGTCAGGATACATGCAAAGTTTTGCTACAAAAATAAATAAATAAATAAAGTAGTGTTGGACAATCAAGGGGGGCTTTTCACGAATAAAGCATTTCTTTGCAAAGCAAATGTGTTCAGTATAGCACGGTACTCAGATTTCAGTTCTAATGCTGAACAGGACAAGGTTAAAAAAAAAAAAAAGAAGATATTTTGAGTACAGCTTCTTTTTCCTTTTAGCTTTAAGACATGAAAATGAGACTATTCACATTTGTTCAGGAGGGGGGAAAATGAATACCATCCAGCAAAAACAATGATTTTTTTAAAAATCATACGTATTTCTAATGTCGAAGTGAAGGAGTGTTAAAAAAAGATAAACATGCAAAGAGACTGTGTTGCTTCAAACAGACCAAAAAAGACACTGCTTTTTCTCCAGCATTGTTGCAATTTTCCTGGAGGGTCTCAGAAGCGTGTCTTTGCTACGTGGATAGCTTGGAATGCTGGCAGGTTCAATCAAATTTGCAAGCGGTCCCTCTTTCGTTCAGCAAGTCCCCTTATATTAAGCTTGATATATTAGTCTGCACACCGAATCCACTGTTTTCCACACTCATCCACTAACTTCCAGAAGCAGATTAGAATTACAGCGAAAGCTCAGAGGCTGAACTGCTGTGCTCTTTATCAGCCACATTACAGCACGACAGCACACAGAGACTTATCCTGAAGATTTAAAAGCCGAAAGCAGAGCACCGGTGTGTCTATTAAAGCCAGATAAACTCTTAAAGTAGCCCCATTACTGTTTGTAGGGTTCACCCTTGGGGGTCTGCACACACACACAGCGGGGGCTTTGTTTCAGGAATACAGTGCTTCTTGCTCCCCGGAGGAACGGCAATGGTTCTATTAGAGGTGAAAGTTAGCCGGTGAGGGAACATGATCCCCCCACACTTCCGCATTCGCTTCTCTTTATTCAACCGAGTGTTTCTGGGCACACAACGGCCTCTCGGCAGGAGTAAAGGAAGATTTTCTTTCAGTAAACTTTCTCTCATGATTAATCTAAGATAAAGGGGTGCGGGGGATTCTGCATGTGGTCCATCAGCAAGTGTATCCGAGACGTTCAATTGAAAATGTACTCCATTCTCAAACAGATCAGACCTGCTTGTGCACGTTTAGGAAAAAAAAAAAAAAAGAGATCTCACAATCCAGCAATGACTGCACTGGTAATAACTGCTGCTCCAAGGTGAGTTCATAGAAACATATTCATCTCCGTACATATTTCATCGTAGTCAACAGGAGGATGCAAAGGTGCTTGTGTTTCCCCAGTATGTGCTCATATTGGTTACATTTCTCAGCCTCTGTGCACATCTGTTAAATATTACAAAGGTGGGCTAAAAGCTGCATCCAGTAGCAGTAAACTCGGGCTCACACCGAAACAAGAGGTCCAACGGCAAAAAAAGAACACAGATGGTTTGTTTTATATATCGTGCTCCGGCCAACATATTCTCATTGCATGCGTGACAGTTCCTTCCTGAAATGTAACACTAGGTGCTACGACTAAGTACCCAAGTTCCTCATTCGCAGAGAGACTGGACTAAGAAGTGCGTTAATTTGGGTTTGACCCACAAAAACTAAGAGAAACCTGAAGCGATCTGTTCAAAAGCTGCAAAATCCCATGCAAATCAGACATGAACCGAACCAGAGTATTCATGCTTTCAAAATGGAACAAATAAATTCTGATTCAGCAGCAGTGCAATGCAATCGAAGGGGGTTGTCCATCCAAATTCAACCTTTTCTCACACAACCACTAGCAGTTTACCGCTAGCATGTATTATCTTTTTAGTTATAATACAAACATAGCCCCTCATGAGACTCAGTGTCAGGCCGAGCCAGCTCTCCTTCATCCTGAGAGAATACTTGGCAGCTGACTGTGATCGCAAAGACTGGAGGCCTGCATGTTATAGCATATCTCTCCATCTTAAACGAATAGCCGACGGGCCAAGTTTACTTTGGAAATATGTTTGGACAGTAAAACTTCACTGGAATGGAGAGCGAACATCAAAAAAAAGAGAAAGTGATCTGCATCGCAGTATCGTATGAAAAGATTTCTCAAATACTCTCAGAGAGGAGACTGGATTTTACATATCACATTAGCTGTTAATGCATCGTGCCCCAAAGGTGGGCATCAGTAATCATAGAACTTCCTGTCATGGTTTAACAAACACTCCGAGTTCTTTGGCCGAAGTCTAGCAGAGAGTTTTAGACTTCAACTCAAAAACTCTCTTTATTCAACCCACTTAAAATTATCGTTCTGCCTTTATTTTATTCCACCGTTCCAAGTCAGATAAGCAAAACAGGAGTCAATACCTATGTAGTAACGGAGTGATCGGTATGTGTGCAAAAGAGGAAGAGCATG